GTTGTAATTGGCACTCTAAATTGCGTAGTGAAAGCCTATAAACCTGAAGAGGAAGACGAAAAAAATTAAAAACGTTCATCAAATCGATGGCGACAAAAACAACGTGCAATGCATGTAATTCATTGAAAACGGTCATCAAATCGAAGGCTAAAAAGTTTTATGTTGTAATACCGTGTACCAACACAAGCACATATGTACGGAAAGGATTTTATCCGATGGTCAAATGAACATGGCGATGGGTATGTTGTCTGCCCGATTGCCTGATGAATCTGGTCGATGGCATTTTTAGATCTGTGAAGTGTATGTAGTAAAGTATCGTAAAAAACGACATAACCTTTTTTCCATGTTGTGATTTTCACTTAATAAATATTCAGTAAACGATTTCACTACATTCATTTAATATTCGGCAAGCGTTTCACATCGCCTGCTCGATCTCTCCATCTCCTTTTATCAAGCGCACAATACACTGCTACGCTAACAAAGCTTCCATTCGTTCGCAACAGTTGTTGAAGCGCAACAGCAAAATTTAACAAACGGTCACCGTGTTCAGTTCGCTCGTGCCACGGAATTGCAACGGAGAAGAAAAAAACGGAAACAGGAAAAAACATTTAGAGATATATGTTGAATATATTCGAATGCTATGTAGCACATGGATGCCTTTATGTTGGTTTATGTGAGATCGATAGATAGAAAACTAGAGAGGTTGCTTGTTGATGAAGGTGAACGAGCGAGCAAAACGGTTGACCGAGTGATAAAATGCCGCGATGAATGTACATTTAGAGGCAATTTGATGCACAGTTTTCCGATAATCCGGATGTATACAATGCGCAAACAAATCAACATATGCGACCTGTCGAACCCGGTCAGCCCATAGTAATAGCACCAAATCCAACACATTGCCACACCGTTTTCGGGCATAAACCAAAATTGAATTTCAAATATAAATACGTCGTCTTTTACAATTTCCATTTCGATTTTTTATTATTTTATAGCACGAAATCACAGTCGTTGTGTAGGTAATCTTCGCTCGTAGCCGTTTGCTGAATTTTCACCCACGGCAAGAATAAATGAACGAAAAAAAATAAAACGATTCGAAAATCACATCGGATCGATTGAGTCATATCGAACATTGAACACCTAACGGATTTTGATTGAATATTTTCCGTCAAAATGCTATAAATTTTTATCTGATGAGCTGTAGTTTATGTGTCATAACCCTCTTTATACACATACCTCACTACATTTGAAACGATAAACATTGGAATTGCATTTATGAAGCTCATCCAAAACACTCTGTGATTATTAATTCGATTTCCGGAAAGCATAAGATAAAGAATGTGGCAGTGGGCAAAAGACAAGAATCTTTTTTTGGGTCCATTTTCAAAGTTAATGCCGTGATAATGGTGCTCATCAATGAATATACGCAACATTTGACAGAACATTTACTTTCGCCTATTTTTAATTCCTTTGCCATCGTATTATTAAAATGGATGCGAAAACGTGACAAACAGCAAATCGCCGTCACCAGAAGTTTTTCTTCTTTTTTTCGTTTGTTTCAAACTCATAGCACATCTTTTAACAACTTTTTTTCCGTATACTTTGCACTTTCAAATAGAATCACGTGTTGAGATCAAACTCGACACACAAATTGATGGTATAGTCTAATCTTTAATACTAAAATCGCTTATCACACATATCCATATCGTGCTGAAGTTTAGACATAAATCGCTTTTACTGTTCGGTCGTTCGCTACCGAAATGTTCGTTTCTTAATTACTGTTCCGGTGGCGATTCAATGTTTAAATGGGCACGTCACGTCGAGACGATATAGTTTAAGGTCCTTTAATCAGCTATTAGTGCCTTTAATTAAGAAATTAGCCATTCTTCTATACATTTAAAGCGAACGAAACAGTCCGAAATATTGGAACAGAGACAGAGAAGGAGGGATGGAGGTGCAAAAAACACCCGGAAAAATAGATCAAATTTTATTGTTTCGGTCCTCTTAATTATTATACTCTCATAATAACTCTGGTAAACGATTATGGAGAAAACTATTAATTGACCGGTTATGGTAATAGTTTCACCGATTTGAGAATACTCATTGCCGCAAAAGCGATTTCATGTTGATAAATGTTGTGAACAATGATAGAATGGTACAATGAAATCAAAATGTATGATAATAATTGCTAAAGAGATGCTCACGTAAATGGAAATCAGTTGTGGCAATTATTCTGAAATGAATTTCATTATAAAGATTATGGTCATTTCAATGGATTCAACCATTTAAGTCCTCTAACGATTCATTTTAATGGACATTCTTGCAATGATATACACACTAACATTATAAGTATTTTCATTGGCTCTTTTATTATCTTTTCACATTTTCATTGAATATCACAAAGTACCATTTTCATTGAATATCTCTACAATATGTTTTGATTTTGTTGAGCTTCCGTATTCAGAGTCAGTTGGAGTTTCCCCAGATATTTGCGTGTCGCTTGCTCATAAATAGGAGTCACCACAGGCTCGTGACACAGAGTCAACACATATGTGGAATGGATTTTTGAATAACATTTGCCATTAAATTTGATTTTCTAGGACACAATTGATTGTTTTTATGCTTTTTTCATGTTGTAAAGTAGAATGTAGTCATTCATAGCTTCTGATTAAAAAGGTCCAATCACTCGCTGGATAACGGACTTCAAATGACTCCAAATTGGCAATTTAAAATTGGAATTTTTGAAAATGACAGTTCTTTGGTGTTCAATTTTCCCGGCCCTTCAGACTTTTCGCAAATTTTATAATTAATAATTGCATTGTAAATTTCACAAGCGATGAAAAAAATCCTGCAACATCAAATTTGTCCAACAAAGAGTAGCTCTTCATAAAATTAATCAATTGAAATTAAAAAATTAAAATAAAATCACATCGCGCACATTAAATTATAACTATGAGCCAATTGAAATGAGATCAATCGATTTACGTGTAAATAAAATATGAAAAGAATGGTGTGGTGGTGCTGACGTTGTTATTCAACTGAAAATGGTAATTGGATTCGGAAGTAATAAAATAAAAACTCTTTTAAAAATTACGTCAAAAGTTTAATCAGACAGTGTAATATGTTATACAATTATGAGGTTGATGTCGCTCTTTAGAATATTATGAAAAATGTCATTAACTCGGAATGGTGCCTCTCCATTCATTCCATTTTGGTGAATGATAAATGAAATCAAATGTTTGTAATTGTAAAATGAATGATATTTAAAATGGTATAATTCAGATGAAAAATTTCATTTAATTCATAAAACATAGCCGTCGAAATAACCACTTTGTTGGGTTCAAGGCATATGAATTTGTCAAATTAAATTAATGCAAACACGAAAAATTTGCAACACCCAATCTCTATACATATAAGGAATGGATACTAGTACCACAGCCATACATGCCATAATGAGTGGCATTCCCCGCAATGATTGCTTTTACCGATAGAGAGTGAGAATGGGATACACACCGCAACACCGAAAACAAAACAAAATACATATATCTATGCATACGCTAATTGAAAAACCTTGTACCATGTGCACCATACATTTTCATATAAACACAGAGTTGCCGACACATACACACACGTTTAAAATTGGTTGTCATATCATGCGTGAATGAGCGAACGTTACATGTGTGTCTCATCCGTCTGGTGTAAACATAGCCACACGGTGATCGGTACATAAATATCCGAAAATTGAGTGCAATAGACAGAGTAAAATCCGTGAAAATTCTGCTGAAATTGAAGAAAAAAAACAACAACAACCACAATAACAACACTCGCGACTCAATAAAGAAAAAAATGCTCGCTCGCTCGATCTTTCACACGCACACAATGCCAAACGTTCATTTGAATGGTTATGAAGTCAATTAAACGCCACACAGCATTCCTCTTCAAATGAGAGAGACTATAAATAAATTGGTGTACACACTTCATTTGTGACTTTGTTCATTTCTTCGCATTTTCTCGTTCGATACGCGAACGTTGTGTTCATTTTACACGCGCACACACAATTTTTCTGTAGCGTCATTTTGTTCTTCGTCGCATCGCAAAAGGAATTCGGATGCGAGATGAACACTGACGTGAAAACAAAATCAACGTTCGTGTGTAAATGATTGGTATGCAAGAGATTTTTTTTTGATGGAAAATGCAATGCAAATTAATGAATTTTTCCTACAACGACATAAATTTTTGTTGTTGTTGTATGTGCGCTGTCAAAATGTATGGCTTCATTTGTGAACCTTCCATTTTAATGTGAATTAAATGAAAATGTGTAAACGAAAGAAAAGACAGAGCAACGGAGGAAAGAAAATGAGATTCCGTTGGGGCTAACGATTGAGAACTGTTAGAATGTAATTGAAAAGATTCCTGTCGCCACTGTTTGCCAACACGATGATTACGAACCCAATTTTCATTAACTCATAAAAATATATATATAATTTTGTCGTTTTATGTGCACTCTCTCTTTCTTTTACAGGCATCTAAATGCATTGCTTTCGCGTCATTTATTAGCTTTGTTCTTCTGGTTGTATGCGTTTTTAATTCATCGCTCATATTTTCCGTGCCAAATACACACGGACGACCAATACTATGCCGTCAATTCAATCACACTCACATATCTATTCGTGCGCTTACAATAATTTTAACATTGGATCATACACATTCTTGACTAACAGCAACAACAACAACAAAAAATTAAAAATAAACATGAATTGAATTGAAAAGGAAAATTTGGCGAATAAATCCAACAACAACACCAGTGGCCGCGTTATTTTTTATCGCTTTTCAGTTTGATGAATACAACAACAACAACCATAATAATAATAATAATAACAAAAAAAGGAACGTCAAAATGAATATAGATGTATGCATACAGTGTAGAATGTGAAGGCTTTTCTCTCTCTGTCTTGTATAATTTTGGTATTCGCGTTTTGATTTGAGATCGTTCTCGTTATAGACAGATAGAGATGCACGGTGTTGGAAGAGGCATCAAAATTCTGACATCGTGTGCTGTTTGTACGTGTACATTTTCTCGTTTCGTCTGTTTTTTTTTCTTCTTCCTTTCATTCTTTTCGATTGCATTTTTTGGATCGTTTCGATCAGTGTGATCGCATTCAATTTGGAATGAATTTTCATCAAGTGTCATTCCTATCAGTTTGAACAGTGAAACACAAAGAGTGATAGAGTGAAGTATAAATTTGGAGTTAAATCAATACATTCGATCGAAATCAAGAAGCATACAATGAGAAAAATGAAGTGTTAAAGATAAATTAAATTGACTGAACGCGGTGTTATTCGCAAGTGGTAAATACAAAAGAAAGAAAGAAACCGACGAGAGAAATTTAATGAAATTTCGAATGGGAGCTATTTTGATTGGATTCGAATACATATGTTGATTGCTTCTGTAAAAATCGGAACCGAAAAACAGACACCACGAAATAAATCACAAGTGAAAGCGAAAATCTGTTGAATATAGATTGTGCATCATATGGTGATTCATTGATATCATATTTTCCGTGCGGAAAAGTGCAATTCGTGGAATTCGTTTTTTAGTTTGCAGATTCTGACACATACACACTTTCACACTCAGAACATATTTGCGTTGAATTGAGCACATTTGTTGAAGTTTTTTTTCTAACCATTCGCTGTTCACGTTCTACAGGATTTATGTATATAAATGGGTATAGTTGATGCGAACGATTGTGTGTGTTTGTGTAATTGTGTATATATGCCATTTGATTTGCATGATTTCTTAATTCGCGCACATCGATTTAGCTCATAACATTGTGTCTTGAACTTTATTCATTCGTCACCTGGTGTTCATGTTGATCCGAAAATAAAATCACATGACAGCATTGAACGTTGAATGTCCGATATGTCGCCTTCTGCTTTCGATTTTTCTCTATTTCTCTCAGTCTGCCGATGCGATTCTCTTTGAATTTAATTCATTTTATCAAGTCGAAATGAAGGTGCTTGATAATAGCTAAACTATATGATGTGCATACTTTCATATTCCTCGGTGTTTTCGAATCGGAATGTGTATACCGATTTTTGTTTTTGATTTTATGACGATATTCGATGCCAAAAATAAATGATTCAACTTGAAAAGCGCCAAATGAATGTGGGAACAAAAACACAATGAACAAAAAAAAAGAGATAGCGAATAGAGAATCTAATTCGCGTCGCCGCTATAATTCATTGACAATATAAAATGAATCGCTATTTTTTTGTCGATTTCAGTGCATTGCAATTTCCTTTGTTTTTAATTACATAGCGTCTCTTATTTTTTGGTTCGCTTGGATAACGTTCGTGAACACGTAATTCACATCAAAACGGCCACACTGACTCATGTGATTGCACAAAATGCATTCCACGTTGCTCGTTATATTTTCTTCTTCTGTTTCATTTTTCTTTTTCTCAGAAATTTCTCGCTTTAAATAATGCGCATTACTTGAGGAAATGCGAGAACAGTGTCTGTACTGGTCATTCACTCAGGTGCTTTTTGCACGCGTACTCACACATACACAAAATGGCATGCCACAATAAGTTTCTTCAATTTCGACTTTGCTGTCATGTGATAGGGAATTTACGTTTAATGAACGCGGAGATTTTATGCTCTTAAAATTTCATGTTGTTAAGCGTCTATATGTAGACGGTGTCTTTACTTTTTACTAATTCAACAATGGGGTTCATTCATTTTCCAGCGAAGCGCGCCATACTCACGCTGTATTCTTTGTCAATGTCACACATATGGTGTGTAAATGATAGCGAAGAAATGTGAGGGTGAGAGGTGTGAGTATCTGCAGTGCGTTCATTTCGCATAGTTAAATGGGACACAAATCAGGGAATGGAGTCGGTTACATTTTGTGTGAATGTGTGTGTGTGTGTGCGCACCACAATACGATGTTTAAAGTCAGACATGAAATTTAATTAATTTGAAATTTTCTTCTCCTTTTATTGCTTTATTATACCGAATCGTATCTGTTTGAGAATTGCTCAAGTTTCGAATTCAATGAATGTGTGTTGGGTGCTCTTTTTTTTCTTTATTCTTCCACAAAATGGAAACCCATACACTTCTTTCTTCATATAGTGTCGTTTCGCGTAGCGGTTTTAGAAAGATGACAACTTCTTGCTCGTTTCATCGTCGTCGGCTATGAAACCAATTATTTATGAAAAACTTTATCGAACATTTATATATATGTGTGTGTATGCGTGCGTGTGTGTGGCCACAAAAAGCGATCAAATGAAGCAAAGTTCAAAATTTTAATTAAACACTGCTCATTTTCGAATCTCGCCGAGTCAGAGAAGAAGTAAACAGATTGAGTGTAAATGAGGTTCATTGTCATTCACATGTATGAAACACGATACGAATTAATAAATTTTCATTATTTCGCAAGCTTTAAACCAATGATCGTTCGGTCGACAGTTTGTCGCAAAGTTGCAAAAGGATGAACGTCTTTCGACGCATTTAATTAAGAACCAAAATTCCACTCGGAAAATTAAATTGAAGGAAATCTGAAAAAGGCGACTTTTTTTGTTCGTTGCTTTTCGCAGCTTGCCAGATTTTTTTTTTTTTCAAAATGATCTGGACCTTGCGATTTTTTTTCAAAAAACTAAGCAAAATTTCGAGCGAATTCCGGGTGAAAAACCTTTTTTTTAAATTAAAGCGAAATGTTGAGTCTCAGAATATCATTGAAATTCCTTCCAATTTTTACACAAAATACCTTGAATGCTTAATAAATGATGTTCATAAAAATGACTTGAATGTTTTTGGCTGGATTTCGCTATAACAATCTGGGCGAACCCGGAATAACTCGGGCATAGTTTATTCCATTTTATGTGCGAGAGAGCGTTACACGATGTAAAAATACTATAAAAGCTTGGCCATATGTTTGCCACTTGTTTATCGTTTCGAGTTCACATGTAATGTGACAATTTCGTCACGCGTCAAACTCTTTTTTTTCACATACGAAAAAAAAAATCACACGGACACACGGTGGTGATAGTTTTTCTATAAGAAAGTAGTGAAATGTCATGTGCAACCAAAACACCGTTCTCGAAGCGGAAGTGGTACGAATACAGTGCTTCATTTCAGTGCTTTTATCGATTTACCATTTTCTGTTTCATTTTTTTCAAATTTGATACATAAACATTTCATTAAACTTCTTTTTGTTTGATTGTTTTGTTGTGGTGTTTCAAACACCAAATGCGATTCAAACGTATGCACATTTATTTAATTACCAAAGTTGTCTCTTTCTCATTCGTAGCGATTATTTGCATTTGTTATTGTTTTATTTAAACCGAAAAACAGTCCATTGTTTCAGCACACAGTCCAAGTGCAAAAAAAATTAGTGGGTCGTTTGCGCTTAAAGCGTAACAATATCGGTACAAATATTTTCACGCTATTTTTAAATGGAAGCTCTTGAACGTTGAGAAATCCAATTAAATTTGATATTATATTTTCGTTATTTCGAACCATTTTGAGTGTGTTTTCATATGTGACCTTCTCGTGCCGCCGCCATTAGAGTGGGCATATATTATGTACGCCACCGACCTCTCAAACCAAAAAAAATGCTCATGCCTTTAAATGCGAAGCGATCGCCAAATGGCTCATAACTTAAAAGCGCAGTAGATGAAACACATGATTATTTTTTTGTTGTTGTTTAGCAGGCTTAAGTATGGTATTGTGAAAATTGATCCCACAACGATTGATTAAAATGATACTCTTAAATAATTAAATGCGCAGCAGAGGCGAAAAAAATATATATAAGAGTGGATCAGTCCATCTTCTGCTAACGTATCTGTTTTTCCGAACCAACCGCCTGGTTTGATTCAACAAAAAGCCCCACAACGATACACATCGAAATAATTGAAAGGATGGGGAAAAAAATTGCAAACAATCAACCTCAAATGAAAAGGGCGCTACGTTGCCATTCGTTTTATGCACATTTTGGCACGATAAAAAAAGGAGTATGTATCCATGAGGAAAATCCACACGAAGACCAAACTTATTTCGGTTTAAAATTTAATCAAAATATCACATAAGCACCGACATTTTTACGTCGTAAATACACCAGTCGTTTTCTTTGTTCTTGTCGTCGTTTTCGTCGTCGTCGTCATATTATGCACAAAAATTGATCCGTTTTATTTTTATTGTTGCCATTTATGCTGTACACTGTCGCTCTTCCACTTTGTTCTATTGTGGTGCTTTCACTTTTATTTTCTCTATTTTATGGATTTATCTTTAAAAAAAGTTCTTGTAGATTTCTATGTGTACTTTTTTTTACTCTATTCCATTTATCAGCATCTTTAAACATTTTCACTTTTTCTTCAGTGTTGAATCATGCCAAAAGAACCTTATAAATTGAGCACCAAAAAAAATTATAATTCGAACATCTTCAGCAATTATGCTGAAAGGAAGTTTCTACTCTTTTCCTAAAATTGATACATTTTTTTCCCGTTCCGTGTAAGAAGTCAAAGGACACACAAATGGGAAATTCTCGCATATTTTTCCATTTTCGTTAAAACATTAATTAGTCGCTATCGAATCATTTTTTCGGTTATCGTTTGCACGGAAAAGTCTTCCTTTTTTTCGTATCTATTATTACATTGTATGTAAAAAAAATTTACGATTTCCACTGATTTCATCAATTTAATGGAAATTTTCTTAGGACAATATCAAAGTCACTTTTCAGACTTTATTCCTTCCCAGAAGCAAGTAATTTTCGATTCTTTTATATTGATTATTTCCTTTGAAACTTTACATTGTTATATTTTATTCATGAAGAGGTTAATATTTGTACGCATTCAATGAGAGCAAATGCCAAAAACGGTTGTCGGCAACTCTATTGTGAAAAAATGCGAATTATAATTCAAACAATATCTATTGGCACTTCTTCACATTACCGTGCACTGTACAGATTCACTTATATCCACACCATTGCTGCAAAGACACTTAGTTATTAGCGCCATCTAGTTCGTGCGAGAAAAAATCTTCACATTTCACACACGTACTATTGAGTTACTTCACTATGCAATACAGTGAGGGCGCCAGTGATACGTGTTTTGCAGCAACCCAGTGCTTATATCGAATCCAATTTGAATAAGTTTCATTCGAAAAAAAAGAAAAGACGACCACATTATTGTCTTTCATCAAAGTTTACAAAAGTAGCAAAAAAAAGCGCTGAAACAAAAAAAAACTTGTCAATTTGCCATTTTTTTTGTTCATCGATGCCAGCCACGTGGAGTGGTTAAATGCGAATGGACATTTCATAATTCGTCGTCTGTTTTCAGGTGTGGAAGAAAGTGAAAGAAAAACAAGACGGGACGACATTATAGTTCACGAGAATAAAAAAAAAACAAAGGAGAGTAGCTGATGCCATAAAAATAATTAAAGCAAAATATAACGAGACGAGATTGTTCCATCGAAATTTTATCGGAGTTGATCCAGACGCATTTTGCATCACCGTGTGAAAGTATAAGAAAATATATAAAAAAAGATACAGAGAGTGAAGAAAATTGAAGACGGAAAGCGACATAACCAAATTATATCGCGTGCATAAAAGTTTGAGGGGTAAAAGTTTTTCCATCGAAAAGTCGCTGCGAAAGACATGATAATCGTTGACGAATCGGATCCAGTGGGCGGTAAGTATGCATTAGATTTAGTATATAGCTCCGAAAAAAGCACAAAATTCACTCAAACATGGCTTGAAACGGGTATTTTGTGTGAAATTTTATCGTTACTTCTTTCCATTGAACGAACGGACAGAAAATAGATAGAAAATAATGAAATTATAACGAGAAAACTGAGACATCTTACACAAAATTACAGCGAAACGGTGATTCTTAATGAAAACATAGCCAAGTGAGAAATGTGTGTATGTATTTAACACGTTTTTCGAAAATAGTTTCTCAACTATCCGCAGACAGAGTCAAATATTCGTTCTGTGACTGGTACGTGATGAATGTGTGACTGTGTTTTTTTTAATTCATCGATAAAATTTGTAGAAAACTAATTTAAAACATAGTTAGTTTAAATTAGAATAAAACTATGCGTATTCCACTTAACGACCGTATTAAAATAGCCAACACAGATTGAACTCTAAGAATACATATATACCGTTAGTTCTACAGAAGTTCATTGTCGCGTTTGTTGGAATTTACGGACGATTATAATATACGGACATCCGAAATGATGATCTTGCTTCAAAAAAAAAAAAAAAAACGCTGTGTGTTTGCACGGGTTCGACGACGACAACGAGTCGTTCGACGACACCAAAATCAGGTGACGCATGACATGATGCACAATCACCAAATATTTCACAGTCATTCAACATTCCCGAAAACAAAAGCCAACCACACTCCGAGCGTGGGCGATTATAATAATCATTTGATTCAGCGTTGACTTTTTAATTTGAACGGCATTTTGTTTTCTCAATTGTGTGCCATAAATTCTCAGCGGAATCGAATCGAATACGAATGTCACAGTCACGTTTATATAAACACATGAACATACATATACACGACCGGGCGATTATAATTCATTTGAATAAATGGCAAGGAATGAAGGTCAAATTGTTGAGCTTTACAAAAACAAAACATTTTTTTTTGTCCGCAGCCAAGGAAATAGATTTGTGCATTTTTTGTTGAGCAATCATACATTTCAATCTTACCTCGTGTGCGCACTGTTTTTGTTTTAGCGTGAATGCAATGAGTTCAAAAGTAGAGAAAAAGATATTCTCAACCGATTTTAAAGTTCGACATTAGATATTCATGAATAAATTCAAGTAACTGACTGATTCTGTGTAAAACACTGTTTTTCTTACATCATGCTCCCCCTCTCTCTTTTTTCTGCTTGTGCATTACCGCGTGCGTCATGGTGTACAAAACGAAGGAGCGATCGGAAACTAAAAGTTGTTTCTCTAACAAGTGCGATTGAACAAAGTATTTCAGGTACATTTACGCGAAAAATCCAGTTGAACACTTTTTCGGTCCGTCTTTTTCTTGTGCCTTAATGAAGGTATCCCTGTAAAACTTTTCCATCTCTCTGGTGTGTTACAAATCAAAAATTCGTTTTTTTCTTTTGCAACAACTTGTTGTATCGTTATTGAAGCGATGTGCGAACAAGCTCAACTTCGATGCGAAATATACGAAACATTTTACGCTTCATATGGTAAAAAATGGCAAATGTCTTTTAAATTTGCTTGTTTTCTTGCATTTGTAATGCTGTTTTTATAATCTCCCGCTCTCTCTCTTCATGATGGCGTTTAATAATGTTGTCAAGTGTTGTTATTTGAACTTCGGTTCGAGCACTTTGTGACCCCCTCCCATTTCGTAAAATACAAAAGCACTGAAAACTTTCTAAACTGCACGAATTACGCAATGTACTTAGTTATACAAAAGAAAATGACATGATTATTGTTCAAGTGGCGTTTTCTTTGTATGCCCGTGTGAATGGGTTCTCTTTTTTTGTTTGTGTGTGAATGAAGAAAGGTGTGAATGCATGGACCAAAATCAATGGCATCGTTATGGTGAACGAAAACAACGTGCCGACAATAAACATAGAAAAAGTTTTTAATGTCGCGCCATTCGTCCAAAGAGCGAGAGAGAATGGGCTGCGGGGATTGGGAGAGGGCTAAATGCGTATTCATCACATAGACCGAATGAGATGTGCCACGATGAGATTGTTACGTTTGCTGAGGAAAAGAAGAAGTGTATGAGGTGAAAATGATTGTTGCTTCCTTTTTGTTGTCCAATTATTCGCGTTTATTTGTATGCTTTTGGCGAAATTGGGAGCGCTGATCGTGTGAAAGCGATTTATTGGAATGCAAAGAGCATGCGAAAAAAGGGCTTGAATTATGGTGATGTAATTCAATTCCTTTGATTCGACTATTTTGAATCAATTGTTCACGTTTTTCCTCTTTTTTTTTGAATGCAGCCACAACATTTTGTTTTCTATTGCAAGAAACGAAGAGAGTGTTACACTAAATGTGTCAACAAAACCATCTAGCGAATGATTTAAACATTGTTAGATACCTGATATTTTTGGTAATCGGTCAAATGAATGGGAGAGCATATTGAAATACTACGACAGTTTATATGACATTGTACGACAGTTTGAATCCCAGTGGAGAAATTGTTTCGGATCTTTCAAATATTTTGTTTTAAAAAATATTTGCGAAAACGAAGGAGTGACATTTTTATTTCAATATTCTAACGTTACATAAAGTGTCATATGCAAATGGACACAAAAAAGGATTAATATTTTTTCAAGAAATTTTGAACTTTTTGCCAATTTCCATGAATTTGCGAATAAGTTTTTGAATTCGTTTTTAAACAATGTCAAAGTAAAGGTGTTCAATTTTTTGTCATTAGGGAACTGGAATGGTTTTCGCCGTATATCTAAATCATATTTGGATCGAAACGAGTCATTCATCGAAAATAAAGGTTTTCTTCATCGTCAATTGACTTTATAGAGTTTTCTTCGCTTACTCTTCCCTTTCCATTTCTCTCTCTTTTGCTCTCGCTCTCGCTCTCCTTCTGCCGGTTAGTTATTATCAACTTTTATCATTGTCGTTTGCATCGGACGATTGAATGTGGATGAAAAAGATGTGCACAAACATAGTGCAAATAACGTATACGTATAAATTTTGGTTTATTCTTGTCGAGGTTGTGTGCAAAATTTTACCATGATTTGCTTTTAAACCATTTGCAATATCGAAAGGGTCTATTTTGTCCTTTCTCTTGTTCATCAATCGCGGGCACACTGTCTGTTCGCTCTCACTTCGTTACGCAGTGCACTGTCTGAGCAAGTTCTCCCGTTGTCAATGTTATTACCACAAGTGTTCACGATATGTACTTTCGCCACTTTGTGCCAATGTGCGATATATGAAGTGGAATAAAGATGACGAGCACTGAACAAGTTTCCGAATACATTGTCAACATAAAAGTGATAAAAAGAATGTCAGGTAGCAGTAAGTTAATACATCGTCCGACCTTTTTTACCCCTCCCTCCTGTGTCACTTATTACATTTTGTCCCATTGTATTTTCCATTTCTCATCCTCCACACCAAATCGTCAGTCTTGGGTGTAGCACGATGCACACGCACATTTGCGCAAAAAAAAAAAGTTTTGTGCACAACATTTTCGACACCAGTTGAAAATATAATCATTTGTTTATCGGCAATGGTTATCGTAACGGTAATGGAAGTATAAAAACGATCACAATACTAACTGAATCATCATGTATGCCACTCTCTTGGCTTTTTTGGTCTCATTTCGCTTCTGTTTAACGAATGCATTCAACGCGCACCCGTTCACTATATTCGTCCTTCATTTTGAATGGCACACACAAAATGCTGCTTATCATCTCTGCTGAGTGTATAGATTTGCTTCCTTTGTTTGACTCTGGTTCTCATTCGATTTCGACGAGGGACACAATTCCAAAAATAGCAACAAACTTTCCAGAGGCCTTACCATTATTTACATAAATTTTTATTCTGGTCGTTTAGTTAACAAAAAACGTATTTATTTGTATCGGACACTGCTTCGGTTGTTCACCAAATAAATAAAATGGGATTATATTTTTTTTTACACACACTCTCTCTCTATCTCTCTCTTTCTCGCACGAATCCTCTCCAAATCTTTGCAGTCTGTTCAAAACCGACGGTATTTGGACGACACATCAAAGACATTACTTGTTGTTTTTTTTTCTTCATTTTTAAAATGTTCTGTTTTATTCGCTTTGTCATAACTATAATCCCGTTGAAATTGTTGCCACTACAATAAATCCGCAATTCATTACAGTTGTTGTTGTTGATTTTAACGAATATAATTTTATTTTATGAATTTTTCATTGAGTTTAAGGAAATGCTCACTTTGTTCATTCGCATGAATTAAATTCGTACACGTCGTTACAAGCACCGTTACCGTGTTAAAAAAATTGGAGTTTTCAGAGAACAAAAGGAGAGCAGAAAAAAAGACGAAACACGTCAAAATGAAAACAAATGCGTAGCATATACAGTATTCTCTCAAATGAGAATATTTTCGCGTCTCAAGTGGCCGATCCATAATTTATACCTTAAAATAGAAGGAGCACAAAAAAAAAAAGAAATGAAGACACCGAGAATAAAGACATTTATATTATTTGAACATTTTCTCTTTTTTTTGGGTTATTATTTTATGCAAATTTTATTTGTGCGAAAGTAAGTGATATGTTTATGGATGGTGTTGGTTGGTTGGTTGAGTGCCGTCGGACGAATTTCGTATGATGCTGTTGCATCACCAGAGCCCTCCCAATCAGCACAAGAAACACAGTGTTTTTGACATTGTTTACATTAGACTTCACTTTGAAATGTGAATCTGCTGAAGACTACAAATTTACAATCGCATATAATTATCGTGAGGCGAAAAAAAGAAGACGAAATGGTGCACGAACGCGTACCTGAGACAACATTCTCGGAAGAGATTCTTTCCGACAAAAAACAACAAACATATTAAATTGAATTTGAATACCAAGCGGCATTGGAATACACAATGAACCAACAGAGAAAGAGAGAGAGAGAGAGAGAGAGAAACGACGAACTTGAGAGAGATTTCACATAAATCCTAGCTTGGCTCACTATTTGTGTGTATGGCCAATACAAGATAGCAGCACAACTGAAAATCATAAGGAAAGTGAATCGAGCTTTTTTCTTCTTCTGATAAAATGATTATTGGCATTCTCATCCGTGAATCATAATAATGCTGTTTTTCCGAATCCTTTTATGTGTCTTTTTCTTCTCCGTTTTCAGCCGGTTGATTCGTGTTTCTTTTTATTGCGTTTTGTGTGCATTTTTCCAATATTTTATCGGCTTTCACTCATTCATGTTATGTTTTGTGTATATGTTTTATGTTAAGCTTTTGAAATGTGATTTACGCAGCCATAGAAAGATAAAGTAAAAAAAAAAATACGGTCAAGTGTCGCGAATTGTGAGGCAGGATATGTCCAAAGAGGGATATAGAAAGAAGAAAATGAATAGAAAGCACAACAAGAGAAAAAACGAGAGTTTTGAAAAAAAAAAATGGCAAAGCCAATTTCCTTCGGAATTTTTCACGGTTCATGCCACCATTATGAGTTATGTTAATATACTTTTGAATGATAACAATGTGGATGGATTTGGAGTTAGTATCAAGTATCCTCCATAGTTCTGCCATTTGTGTGTGTGCGTAGGAATGGCTTGGAAAATTCAGAGAGACGTAGCGGTAGGGGGAATCAGTGAACTTTGTGTTTGTATATACAATGTATAAAGTAATAGCGCGACGGTAAGCACTTGTAATATATTCATGAGATTTGTGCTTTGGGGATATAGCAGGCATTTAATAGAATTTATAGGAGAAATTTGAATAACAAAAACCCTTGGCACACACACGCTCATTCACTCACTTACTCACATGCAAACTAAAGTTGTAATGCAAAGTGCAAACAACATACATCAAATATATACACAAACACAAGCGGATAAACATTGTCAGCGAACAAGCGAAAGTCACATATGCAAACACCGCAATATAATCGGAATGTTGAATATCATGTAAAAATGGGAGCACACACATTTTGTGTATACTTTCGCCAAAAACCGTTTGCAACGAAATATTGTCAGCTGTGCTGTTGCTGGCTGGCAAACGACTGAAATTGTTAAATTGCTAATTCATATCTAATGCAACTGGCCCGTTTGCATGAATATGTAAAAGTACTCATTTCGAAGAGAAGAGTTAAAACACTGCAAACGGAACACTGCTTTGTTTACAAATGCTACACAGAATTTCCGCTGTTCGAATGAAGCAATTATGCACGTTCCCACTATCATGATCGTTGACTTACTTTGTCAATTATGTTTCGGCTGTGCGTACACCAACCATGTTCAACACATTTAATTACACTAAGCAATTTTCTCGTCAACGTATGTCACTCACAAATTATGCCATATACACACTTAGAACACCAAACTGAAACGCCCAAACTGAAAAGTGAAAAAATAACAACAACAAATCAATGTTGGCACCGATTTTACTTTCAATTGTGCCGCATCATTTGAAAAATTCATTCAGCGTTCATTTGAAATATGAATCTTGTCGGCAGTTTTCACTTGTCAAAAAATGTTCAATTTTTAGTTTATGTATTGTATATTTTTTTTCATTCACAGAAATTGCGCCAAGCTTTCAGCCACGCGATGTAACGGTCAAAAAAGGTGTCGATGCCAAGGAATTTTATGATCTACTCACTGAAATCGGCAGGTAATTAAATAGTTTGAATATTTCCGGCTTCAGAGCACCCGGTATTTCAACGAATAACGTTCAATGATTTTCCGCTTCATTTTTTTAATTTTTTTTTTTTTGGCACAAAATTCTCTGCCAAATGTTTTGCTCAACAAACATTTCAATTTTGTGTGTCAGCATGGTAAATCAATTGTCGTCGCTTATAAATAAATTAATCTTCTGTTTCACTTCAATTGTTTTGGTTTTTTCTTTCAACTTTTATTTTCAATGAAAACAAAAAAAAAAACGGTGAAGAAAACTGTATGTGTAAGTGTCTGTATAAAAAAAAACATTGTCGCACAGATTCACCCACATTCAAATATCCAGTACATCACATTCGCTTCCATTAATTTGCCCATGTTCAATATTTACATTTGTTGTTTATATACACACACACACGTGTATAATTTATTTTGTTTTTCTTTTTTTTTTGAAAATTTGCGAATGCCAGAGGAAAATTTGGCACCGTCTACAAATGTCAAGAGAAATCAACAGGTTTAAAACTTGCTGCCAAATTTGTACCGATTCCAAAACGTGATGATAGACGAAATGTGGAGCGTGAAGTTGAAATAATGAATTCCCTGCAGCATCCGTTAATAATTCAACTTTATGATGCATACGAATACAGTAAAATGATGTGTGTGGTTCTTGAGCTGTAAGTAATTTTCACTCCGCATCTCTATTGACACATAGCCGAATAGAGTTAAGAGCGAATATGGTCTCTTTGGTGGTTGTGTGCATTGTGGTGCACACTAATGAGTAGAAAATGCCCGAAAAATGCCAAGAACAGTATATAAACGCTCCGATTTTCTTTTCTGTCTTCTTTTTTTTCTTGCTTTTTCCTTTGCTATTGTCTATTTGCACATATAACAGCATTGAAGGTGGGGAACTCTTTGACCGAGTCATTGACGATGAATTTGTGCTAACCGAAAAAACGTGCACCATCCTAGTTCGCCAATTGTGCCAAGCAATGGCATTTGTGCACACCAACAAGATTCTTCATTTGGATTTAAAGCCAGAGAATATTTTGTGTTTGACAAAAACGGGAAATCGAATTAAAGTTATTGATTTTGGTCTTGCCCGCAGATATGATCCCGATAAAAAATTGCAAGTAAGTTTTTGGTTTATGTCTTATGATTCATCATTTTGTGCTTTGGTTTTAGAGCTTCGTCATTTAAAAAGCCATACATTGAATAAGATTGAATCATCATACTGTTGGTGCTGTTATGTAAAATACGTAATCATTTTGAGCATTATGTAGATTTCATTTGCGTAGCACAAAACCATTCTGCCAATTTGTTGAAAGCCAAAATGTCAGCACAACCGAAAAAGGTCAAATCCTCAATTACTTTCGACTCTTTATGATTATGATAGTATATCTGCATTCCACAACCAAAAAAAAACGAAAGAAGAAGAAAAAAGAATAACACAAAGATAAACCATCGTAATGAGAGAAGAAGGTGTCGCAAGTAAAATGCATTTATTAAAATTGAGGCCGTTACAACTAATTGACTATTATCATTGCTTATAAGTCGAGCTCTATTACTATCACTACGACACCAAATTTGATCCATTCACTTTCTCTGATACATTTTCATTCATTATGCTTTACGTACGATTTCAGGTACTGTTTGGTACGCCCGAGTTCGTTGCTCCTGAGGTTGTTAATTTTGATAGGATTGGCTTTCCCACCGACATGTGGTCGATTGGCGTTATTTGTTACGTTCTGTAAGTTGCCTGCAGCTGGCTCATAAAATGTTTCATTAAATAAATTCAAATCTCGAGTCATTCGTTGGTGTGTGTGTGTGTGTGTGTGTGTATGCAAAATCTAAAACCGTAAATTTGATTACTTAATTTTCTTGGGCATGTGGGCGAATATCTATTTAATAGACTGTCGGGCTTATCACCATTCATGGGTTCAACTGACGTTGAAACGATGACAAACGTTACCATTGGCAAATACGATTTTGATGACGAAGCATTTCAAACGGTTTCCAAAGAGTCACTGGACTTTATATCAAAACTACTGGTCAAAGACCAAAGGTGAGTGGTAAAAATTAATTGCATCATCTCCATCTTGATGGACACTCCACAATTGCTTACAAAAGCGTATCAAATTGTAAGCGTTGACCATATTTTAAATGTTGAATTTTTGGTATTTGAATTTATAAGCATTCGAATGACAGCTGACCAGTGCCTGGAACATCAATGGCTAAAACAATATACGACAAAAGCTGAAATGAACGAAAAAACCGCTCAAAATGAATGCAAAACAAATGACGATATTAAATCACCAACAATTGAAGTCGAGGTATGTAAATCATCAAAAAATCTCCAATTACAGTAGCATTTTAACAACATATTTCAAATTTAATGTGATTATAGTCAAATGAACCAGAGGTAGATGAGCCACAGCTGACATCAACCAAAGAAAATTTAAAATCATTTATCGAACGCTGGGAAGAGCATCCAAACAGTCCGTACATATTCGATGTAACAACATCATTAATTTTACCACCAACAAAAGATGCCGAAAAGAATACAAGCAGCGGATTTTCATCGCGCGGCTGTTCACCATCACCATGCGAATCGCTAAGCAGCAATACCGAACTATTTCAAAATGGCATCAGTCCGGAAAGTTGTGAAACAACACCTGACATTGATAACGAATTTGAATTGGAAACAGATGTTAAGCCACCACAAAAAGAATTATTCGAACGGCCCAACAGCAGTGCGTCGGTGGATCGAAAAAGTAAAACAAAACAAGAGTATTTGCAATCATTTGATCGTAGACATTCAGATAGTAATTATGTGATAAATCACACATCGGGCGTTGAAAGACTTAATTTGGCCGAAGAAATAAAGAAACTATCCGATCGCTTATTGGTATTATCCTCGATAAGTGACGAACTCAAAGAGTTTAATCGACGTCTTGATGAAAATCGAACCAAACCGACGCCACCACCGTCCTCAACGAATAACGATTCAAAAACACAAATTAAACGCACCGAAATTATGAAAAACATGAAAAATGCAAATAGTTTCAGTTGTTCAACAAAAACCGAAAAAATCACAAGTCATTTGATTCATTCGAAATCATTGTTGTCCGAAGACGATGTGGCTACTTCATCGCGGATAACAACATCAACATCTGTGGTCAATGATTTAACCGAACGTTTGAAGACGTTGGACGAAATACCGTCTGTGTTCAAAAAAGTTGTGAATGCATCGACGAAAACAATGAACGAAACAATTAGAACGACCTTAGGTAATCGACTGAAAGCCACTTCGATTAGCAATAGTTCATCGGAATCAACATCACCGTGTACATTAAATGGTTCGGTACCGTGGCCAATAACAAATCGTCGAACAAAATTCCGTGTAACACAATTGAGTCGAGATGTTCCGATCGGTTCGCCCGATTCACATCAAACCATTTTCCTTGAAGAAGCAGCAAACACAACCAAAGATTGTTTACTGCAATTGTTAGATAAATACAATGGCAAAGAGACACGATCATGTAACATTCGACGTCATCAAAGTATCGCTGTTGGACATGGCATTACTGATAATCTCGAATATCATTCAATGAATTCCATAAATGCATTCTTCAAACGGAATGTCTTTCAACAAAGCGGTAACACTGTGCGCAAAATTAAAGCACGCATCGAATCCAAACATCAATAAAATGTTCGACAACACACGTTTTGCTCACACCTTTTTTTCTTCATATAACTTTCATTGCCCGCATTCAAAAATTTCTTCAAATTTTGTGTTGGTTTCAAATCAGAACGTCTATTTTCTTCTCAAGCAAAAACAAAACTAAGTCCGCTTCTCCTTATAAATGTAGATTGTTTTTTTTAAGAAAGAAAAATATACATGGAACGATAACGAATGCTGCTGACAACGACACTGTAATTTAAATATTGAGTTTGAGCTTAGGTGTTTTTTTTGCATATGATTTCGCATCATTCGAAATCAGTGTAAATTATCACGGCAAATATGTACCTTGAACGCAGACTGAATGAGAAAAAAATGTTTTCAAATGATGACAGAAAAAAATCTAACGTGGGATAACAAAATGTAAATACGAAAAAAATTGCTCGGTGAGATTTTTGAACGCAAGCAATATTTGGAATTCACATATTTGAATTTCAGCAGAAAGACAGAAAAAAACATCACATTTAAAATGAAAGGAGAGTTCGAAAGATAGAAAGAATGAGATTTGAATCATCAATATTTTTTTTATAATGCACACGTGCAATGGTGTCAATTGCATCGTGCTACAAATTGGATTTTCAAATGTAAATGTTATTCTCTTTTATTCTTCCATTTGAAGAACGAAAATAAAATATGTAAAATAAGTGTTAGTTTTACTATATTATCATTGTATTTTGGAATCAAAGTGTCAAATAAACAGAAAAAAAAATCGACAACAAAAAATATACGATTATTGATACATTTGCATGTATGCCACCGCCAATGGACCACTGGTCATTTTATCTTGTTCACAAGTTGGAAAATGTGTACGTTCCACAGCTATTCGAGGTTGATCATTGAATTGGTGCGTTTTTTTAACTTTAAAGTAGACATTAGGATGTGAAACACATTGAAATGACGTAAGATGTGGAAAAATAGCTCAAGGCATTTTTTTGGGGCAGAACATGTCAGATAGGGATGCTGATTGATCACCACCAAATGATGTCACAGCTTTTAATATATACACAGTTGCTGATCGCTGGAAATATTTTTTTAGACAGAAATTTGTACATGGATCATATCAGATGTGTTCAAGCGAATCTTAGTACGAAGATTGATGCTTATTGTCAGAAATGAATTTCTAACCAAGATATTTATTGAATATAATAATACCGTATGAATTATTGCGGCAAAAAAATAGAACGATTAGATCGCTCAGCTCATCCCATCCTTTTGCCAAATCCATTATAGATTTGGCAATTTGTTTGCCCATTTTATGCACGCTGTCGCCACTGGTGATTACATAGCATCCAGTTCGTTCAAGTTCTCAATTGTTGATGTGAGCGCAGAACAATTGAGTTGCTTAATGGCGGCCAAAGAAAGAGCTAAATTAGTTTTGGACGATGGCGTGTAACCATGCATGTGACGCAAAAGCAACTAATTGTTGTTGTTCTTTTCTCAAGATAGTGTCGGGATATTATATGGCTTTTGCGTCACTCTATATATACTAGGGAGTAGACACATGTATTCGAAATCTCAGAATAGTGTGATTAAATGGCTTGCGAGTTCACTCGTATAATGTATATAGTGCAACCAAAATAACAACGAGCATTATATTCAAATCTTCTACAGAAAATCGGACGAATTTGCCATTGAATATCGTTAATTGTAGAAACTGTACAGTGATATTATACCTGATCGTGACACTGAGTGCTGTCTTCAAGTTATTTTTACTGTGATTCGATTTCAATTCATATTTTTCACATAACAATTAAAGATTAGAACGTAACAGTTTAATTGATTTCCATGGGGCGAATCACGCTAGTGAATACTAGAAAAACTAGTAAATCTAGTGCGAAGAATGACGTCACAAACGAAGCCAACTTCACACCAAAGGCTATATAATTTATATGAAAAACTACTGAGAGCCAACTTCACGCACTAGAATTTTCTAGTTTTCTAGTGAAATTTTATCAAAAACTAGATGCACTAGAATTTTGTGATTGACCCCATGTTGATTTCGCTAAAATACGTAGTTGTTTTGGTAAGTATATTGCATGAATCATGAAAGAGCTATTTTTTCAATGCATGTCTTTTTCTTTATTAAATTTACCTGAATGATGTTTACTAAATTTTCCTATACGGTGTTACGACGCTATGGTTTCTCTTCATGATATCAATGCAATTATAATTTTCAGAATTTTAAATCTTTACAAAGGGGTCATTATGGAGTTAAGTTATAAATTTATTATTTTACTAAATTGATATTAAACAATTAAAAATATTATGGTATCACCTTTCAAACAGCAACCGAACAATTGGAAAAACAGTTTCTAAATAAATAAAAGCACATTGCTCGATTTCTTTTAGATTGATAAAATCATATTTATTTGTTGATTAAATAGTATTAAGATATAATTTTAAAAACAAAACGATAATCTTAAGTATGATAATAATAATATTTACAAAAACTATTTCGTTTGTTCAAATAAGATTTACTAACAAGATATCGTTGTTTTTTTCTTTCGTGTAGAATTTCCATCGTAAATGGAAAACAACAGTTATTTTTTGTTGTTTTTATTATAAATTAAATAAACCACATCACTTTACTATGGTACATTTGAAAAAAAAAAAGCCTTAAAATCATATGCATAAATTGAAAACAGTAGTTAATGTCTTGTACTAAGGTTAAAATGTCATTTTATGAAAATGTAAATAGATACAGCGTGTCGGAATTTAACCTTTGATTTTGATAAAAGTATCGTCATCAATGATTCGATAGACATCTTTGCGGAAACTCGTCAAATCGTCCAAAAATCGTTCGGAACTATCATTGTGCATTTTAGTAATGACTGGTCTTAGATTTTCAATGCCTGCCGTGCTTGACAAATCATCGTAATAATTGTTCTGAAAAGTGCACAAACGAAAACGGATTTATATAAATATGTTTTTTCTGCCGGCTGCAATGAAAACTCAAAAATTATAATACAACTCACTTGAACTGGTCCCATCATGTGTGCTTGACGTTTTTTCAATCCCATCGTGGAAAAGCGCTCTTCCATTTCATCGTTTGTGTCTTTTAACATTTCCTCTTTGGATGGCAATTTTTTTTGTCTCGAAAAGAATTTCATCACAAATCGAACCTGTAGATGAATGAAAAACGACAGAAATAGAAAACCGATTGAATAACATTGATCAATACTTTGTAAAACAATAGTGCATTAGTCAAGACTTCAAATGACACGCTTGACTTGATTGGTTGGACATGAAATGAAATGGAAACTAGATAACAAGCAAATACATTTCAAAAGAAAAAAAAAATCAAAACAACCGTTCTCTTTTTCTCTCACCTGCAAATCAAACATTTGCGAAGCGCAAACGTAAAACGGGACACCGATTAGTGCCATCGTTGGGTGATTGATGTTGATACAGTGCTTGTAAAGTGGTTGCACGTAGTTATCATCAACGGAAATACCACAATCGATGCTCAAAAAGGGGAATGTATATTTGTATCCGGTGCAATACATTAAAACCGAATAGTTTTGTTCGGTGCCATCAACAAATACAACACCATTTTCTGTAAGCCGTTCCACGTCCGGTCTCATATCAACATTTGATCGAAATACAGTCTTTGGTTCCGGATTCTGATGATGACTGAGCGTTACACGCTTTGCAACTTTTGACATTTCATTTGCCAAGTCCATGCCGGATGGTCCAGCTCCAATCACAAGAACATCTTGATCTGTGTATGTGTTATTATTGCATCAGATAATGTGCCGGGAACGACATGCACATAAATAAGAAAAAAAATTAAATCAATAAACAAATTGAATTGGAAATTTAAAAAAGAAAATGTTAGAAATCTCATGTCATTTTATCAATCAAATTGAATATAGGCAGTAAAGCTGCATCTATGTAATCGACACACACACACGTATTCATTTTATCAGCATCTAAATATGCTTCCTCATCAACCCGTCATATTTCTTCCATACTTATATTTCGTTACGTTTAGAAAACTTCATATTTGTATCTATATCACTGATTTAAAACACTGATTACGAAGCAACATCGAAATAATCGTCAAACATGTTTCTTTTCAGAATTTTGCTTATTATATTTTCAGCTGTTTTTGAGATATTATGAAGCGTATCGCCTCTACAGAAAATGAGAGCATGAGTTCATTATCAAAAATGTTTGGTTTTCCATTCCATTTTAGTGATTGCCAAACTAAGATGCGGATGAAAAGCGACATGCTTAGATTACTTTGTGTATATTTGCTAATATGAAATCGAAAAAATCTCACACAATCGCACACATGCACCCATATTTCAGTTGTGACTATCGGTATTTTTCTTTTATTACCAACAGCTATCTGTCTCACCTTTGAATGGAATGGAACATCGAAAGTCATGTGAATGGATTTGCTGACCCTTATAGATCTCTTTACCGGGATATTTTGGCACAACTGGCGTATGATAATGGCCATTACATACAATAATCGCATCAAATATATACGTATCGTATGTGTTATTTGGAAGGTCACGCACGATTATTTCCCATTGATCGTCATCACCATACGGTCGTACACGAACCACGTAATGTTCAAATTTAATGTGTTCGTACACATTAAATTTTTGCGCATACAATTCCAAAAACGTGAGCATATCCTTTTGTGGTATGTATGATTTCTTTTGATCCGGAATTGGAAAATCTGGATATCCCATCAACTCTTTTGGTAAATTCGTGCTATAATTGTATAAAATAACAAAACAAACACAATTTTCCGATTATTATTTCAATACTAAGCGAATAAATGTTGGTTTTCGGTAACGTACTGTAAGCCTTGATACATCGAGGTATGCACATCAAGACCATATTCATCTTTGCCCACTTTATCGTCATACACCCATGTGCCGCCAACTTGTTTGGCTCGTTCGAAAACGGTTACTCCGCAACCAGATTGAAGCGCCGTTTTAGCTGCAAACAGACAAAAAGAACATAATACGCACGAACACTGATATCAGTAATTTTTACATGAATTTCATAATGCTCAACCTAATTGACTGGGCATCATTTTAAAATGGAAAATATCACGAACAAATATTTATGAAATTATCAAAAATTACCTGCACACAGACCAGCTGTTCCTGCACCGATAACAGCAATATTCATCATTTTCATTTTTAAAAACTTGTTCAACTATAACAAACAATAAAGAAAACAATACACAATCAACAATTTATTGAATTTCTCGCGTGCGGTTCAACAACAAAAAAAATATATACGTGTTAACGACTGTAATTTCAGAATGAAACTGATTTTTTGGCATTGATCAATTTCAAATATAAAGCAATCGGAGATTTTTCCAGTGCCCGACGCAAAAAACAGTCTCATTCATGTGAGAAAATGCGCAAAAAACGGTTGTACATTTGCCGTAAGTCTATAATGTAATAAGATCAGACTTGCACATCATTTTCAATGAGTTTAATGATAAGCGGTCATCTGTCGCGCTATGGACGACGACGACGACAACATTGTATGTTGAGCACGTTGTCATAAGCCACAATTTAATTGATGTGAAGAAGAGACAAAAAAAAACAGTTCACGCAAATATTTCATATAGAAAAACAACAAGCAGCCGTTCAGATCAAGTTCTTTTTTGCTTCCTTGTTATCAATCAACCACTAATTCGAACACAAATCTCGCTCATTTCAATATTAGTATTTCTTTTACTGTTTGGTTTTTTTGTTTGCCATAAATTTCTCAATTATCATCACTAAATTTAAATTGAAGCTAGAAAAAACAAATTCATTGAAGCGAATCAAGGCTGAAGCGCAAAAAATGTGCGTATCAGAAATTGAAACGGCGCAACATATGATATGAAGGTGGACAATTTTTTGTTTCGCTTTGAAGTAATCAAATGTAATAAATGAGGTCATTTTGGATCAAGCAAAAGCGCAGCAAAAAATGCATTCTATGCAATGGCTGAGATAATACCGTGTGAATAGAGAGAGAGCGACACACAAGTGCATGCTGTCATTTAAATGCCCGAAAAATACGTTCAGGACCTATTCTGCTACACGTGAGTATGGATTATTTGGGTCCATTTTCAACAGATCCTTAGTGCACTAACAACGTGTAAATTTTGTGGAAAAAACGAACAGACTGTATCCAGCATTGTCCTCACATTGACCCCGTCGACCTTATTTTGTCGAAGAAATTAAACTCTAAGTACAAAAAAAACGTTCGATACTTTGTTGTCATGGAATGCTCTCAAGCATGTATTTATTTTAAAAATATTTTCTCGATTATTATTTGTTTATTAAAAGATTTGTATGCAGTGTGACGTATTGTACCGAAAAAAGATCTGAACTTTGTACGAAAAAACCAAACACCAAAAATATTATATATACTTTTAAAAAAACGTGCAAAATGTCATGACTCACATTTCCAACTGTGCGAAAATGTCAGATTAAATACTTTTTAAAAGAAAAAAACATTAATTACATTTGATATCATGTACGCACAAAAAATCTAAAAACCAATTTGTAAAAATAGTTTTTTTAGTGTCGAACGATAATACTTCAGTTTTTTTTAATATGCTCATCTGCCTCTTTCTTATCATAATTACTGCAGTTTTTTTCTGCTGTCTACACGCTTATCTTACAAATTATTAACACTTTTCTCAAGTGCCTTTTTTGTGAATTTCCGTTTGTTATGAATGAAAAAAATTAAAGAAAAAAAAATCTATTTCGCGCCTTTGGCCTGCGTACATAATACATGAAATGATGTAAACGAAACGTGCGGCTACTGAACCAAAAAAAAAAAACACACACACACAAATACTACAATGATTTGATCGAATTTTTGCAATAACAGATTTTCTCAGCGTTCCCACCATAAGAGAAAACAAGTTTTAAACAAATCACCAATTGCACTCACCGTACTTTAGAATAAGAAAACTTTGTCTGCAGTTTTTCTTTCTCACACACAAAATACCCTTGCAACTCCTTAAAATTTAAGCACATTCACTGCCACGTTTCATTCAATTTGTGGATGTCAGTCATTGATGAGTCTTATATAGACAGAGAACCGAGCGAATTGTTTACCGGAAAACGGGGGACAGAGTGTGTCATACACACACTGTGTATGTTGTTTGTGAAACCTTCAAGTACTGATTTCCGTGCAACGAATACTTTCTACAACCGATCAGATCGTCTACGTCAAAATATATATATATATTTGAAATTGTAAAGAGCAATTGATTGTGTTAAAATATATGACTCTTTGAGTTTGAGTCTCTTATCGGGGACGGTTTCTTCCTTTTGCACGCACTCTCTGTTTCCCGCCGAAAAAATATTTTTGATTGGAAAAATAAACAACAAAAACAATCGTCATTAAACGACAATTGAATGGGCAACGGCCAAACGTGCCAAAGACAATTGTTTGGCACACTGAAAAGCTTAAATAAAAACAATAAAACAAAAACACACAAGTGTTGTTTTTATTATTCGCTCGAAAAAATCACAAGATGAAATTCATTTGATTTTGTTTGGGATATTTGTTTGTTTGCCGCACACTTTTATCAATATTAAGTTCTAAGCCGTAAATGTTGACATACATATATTTGATTAGTTTATTTGTGCAAAATACGTTTATATATTTGCTCCTTCGAAGACGTGATAATGACGTGGACACAGAGAAGGGGTGCACGAGCTCTGACATTAAAGTTACTGATAATGGGATTTAACGATAAAATATACGATGTCGGAAATGTTGAACAATAACAATTTGATGATATACTTGTTGAAAATATTTTTCAGAACGGATATGCCTTCTTAAGAACTGTCATTATCATCAAAATACATTCAGACACACTTCAAATGGGGAAAAGACAAAAAAAATTGCGGATGTTACCAATGTTAAGTGCAGTAGGTCATTGGCATTTATCATAAAGCAATTAAATTTACACATTTTTCGAAGAAAATACATGGTATAAAACCATAAGGTCTTAATAAAACTCATTATTCTAAATAATAATAATAAATAATAATACACCGCCAAAAACTCTTGTTGAAAAATGAGATGCTCCGAAAAGGAAATTTAATCAAATTTTCTTTATCAATCTTGTGAAACAATATCAAGAAAATGACCAAATAATGAGCACAAACGTGTGTAAACAGAGTTGTTTTTTGCCCTTTCGTCATCTTATTTTTTGTGATGTTCTAATTTTCAAAAGATTTGTTTAGCATAATCTTTTTTTTTAACTTTCTCTATATATTCTATTTAGCTGCCTCTTTCTTTCTTTCTTCTCACTCATAACACCGACTTCTCCGAATGTGCATGACAAACACAACATTCTGTAACACATAAAAGGAATTACATAAATGAATAATGGGAAAAAACGTTCATATGAAATTATCATTTACATTAGTTTATTCACATGAAATTTGCGTCAGCCAAATTACTACCGTTTTATTTCATTCGAATTGAAAAAAAATCACTGTAGAACACAATAACATCAATTTATAATAAATGGGATGGCAATAGTAATATAATCGTTAAACTATATGATAGTCATGGTGTCAGGGGGGGGCAAAAAAATGTGTGTAATCATTTGCTATATACTGTTTGTGATCAGTATAGAGGCATAGAAAACATTTCAAGTTTATCAGTTTCCAGAATCGTCCACGATCATGTGAATATGTTAATCAAAATTAGTACGAAAAACGGTTGATATGAATTCAAAAAAACAATGTTGTCCACAGAAGCTGCCACTATATGAGAAGACACCTCCTCCTAGATGAATAATAAAACAATTTCTTTTTCAATCATTTTTTTTTTATATTTTATTTGTTTGTTCATAAAATCGTATTTTGTTTTTTACGAGTGTGTGACATAATTGGTTTTGTTTTTCATGTTTTTGTTTTGTTTCACGTATTTTAACATACATTTACACCTAAATGGAGTTGTCGATATATTCGATAGAGCTACTGTTTTCTGGTTTTATTTTCATAATAATTAATAGTGAATTTCTTGAATGTCTGTCTGTCTCTCTGTGGGCGTATGTAGAATTTGTAGTTTTCCTTTCGCCAAACGTACTATTCCAAAAAAAACCTCATGTCAAGTTCAAAACGCACTAAATATATAACGTACGAACTTGTAGATTGTTTGGGTTTTTTTTACACGCAATCACAAAATGTTGAATCTATTGTATCAACCGACGGGCTCGTATGGTTTTTCTTGGATTTTTTTTTGTACTGTTTTAAAGTCGCATGAAAATGCAGTTGCATATTCGAATACAGGAACTATTTGAAAATCAAATCGAACACCAAATGTAGGGCATAAAATACCGGTGCACCACATTGTGGTTGCATGAAAATGCTGCTTTCAGCGTATAAGATTTTTTCTAAAAAAAAGTAATGAACAAAAAAAAGAGATGGAAAAAAATCCATGAAAACTATTATATGTTTCGATATCGTCGCCCGTTCAGAGAAAAAACGGAACCGCAAAAATTATTTTCATTTGTACTGATTGTGTGTATACAACGATGATTATGCGTGGAAAAAAAGAGAGTGTAATGTAGTTTCATTTTCTTTTTGTTCGGCGAATGTTTTACGATTTCCATCGAATTTTAAAATATATTTTTGTTCGGAAATGCTTATAATTACAGTATAAATTCGAGACGAAATTATAAAAAACACATGAATATTGCGCAATGAAGAGACGACAACACAAAATGTGGACCGCTTTGGTCTCGAAATTGAACAATCGGTCGATTAAGTCGGTTCGGTATGTGTATCCGGGGTGTCCATTTTCTTAACTTCATCTTCAAGTCTTCCAAAAATTCTATCTAACACAAACGATTTCAATGTTATATCATTCAATTGCTCAGTCTTAATTAAAACGTTATCATCACGTAACGAATCCTGTTTTCCATCCACATTCACAAATTTATTCACACAGAAAAACAAAAATGCGTCATACAACAGTTGATTTTTTTTTCTTTTAAAAAAGTTCATGTTTCACCATTTGCAATCATTCATAGGACACTATGTACCTGTTAAAAAAAAACAGTTCAACGTGATCAAATAAACGATGATGATACATTTAGATTATTCGTTTAAATGCAAATGCTCTATATAATTGGTACATTTTTTTCAGTTTTATTTCAATGTTTCGAGAGCAACAATTTTTTTCATCCTCTTCAATTTGTATAAAAAACCACTACTACACGCTTGCGAATTTATACTGTAATATTAATATTCTTATATTTTTTTTTTTTTTTGTTTGCTTGTTGAGAGAAACATTTTTTGTCGTTTTTGATTTTTTCGTTAGTTTTTTTTTCTTCATTTTTGCATCGAATTGAATTCTGCACGGAAGGTAGTTATTTTAATGTAATTATCATTAGATCATACAATTTTGTTATGATGGGGGAGGGAAATATACAATTAATACGATAATAAATCAATTTTTTGTCATATCAAATAAAATACAAAATAACCAAAGTGTTTCAAGTCACACATACACCGACAGTTAGAGTGTGTGTGTGTGTGTATGGATGTAGTGACATTTAAAAAAAAATAATAAAGACGAAACAAATGTTACAAAGTATAAAATTTCGATAAGTATATTTCATTTATCATTTTGTAGTTGTTTTGTTATTTATTTTCTTTCATCATTTTCTTTTATTCAACTAGTGCCAATAAAATATTAACAGTATTAACAAAGTCTTTTGGATTTTCATTCCCTATATACTTTCATAATTTTATTTGATTTTTTTTTAATTCTGTTCATTTGATTCCATTCATATATTTTATCACTCATACCCTATTTATAATTCAATACGTCTTCAATAATAATATCCTTAGGACTGTAGTTTTATGGTTTTTTTTCCCAATTTTTTTCTTCTTCTTCTATATTCATCATTTTTATATGGAACAAAATGCAAATACTCTCTCTCTTTCTATCTATCTCGTTTCTTTTAATTTTATCAGAATCTACGACGATAACGATGATAATAATTATGATGATATTTACGGAAAAATGAAATACATGGGACAAAAACTTATTTTCATAACGATCAAAGGAAAAAAAGAGAGAAAAAAGAACAAAAAAAACTTAAATCGAACAACATGGACGCTGTTGAACAAAAATCACAAAACAATAATAAAATACATAACATTATTATGCGGATGCATTTTTCTTGTAGTTGTCAACAAATCCACACATAAAACAGACAGTTTACAAATGAATTTTACCTAACGAAAAAAAATAATGTAAAAAATATTGTGTGTATTTTTGTTCGGATAATGACTATTGATAAAAGTGTTGATATTTCATGATTTGAAATGCATTTCGACATCACCATCAAAATTAAGCAGTTGGTATATCTTCGGTTGTGGGCGATTGAATTTCTTTGCTTTCAAGATGCTCTTGTTCATCGTACGATTGAAATGCATGTGATGTTAATTTATTATTGACGTCATCGATCGAAGTCTCACCACTACTTTGACGATTCAATTTGGCATGCTTACAATTTGATGTATTGCCATTTACCGCTTCGTTATCACTTACAATGCCATTATTTCCATTGTCGTTGCATTTATTTTGCGCGCCTACGGTGGCATTGACATTTTTCGTTATGGGCAAGGATGATTTACGTCGTGGCACATCATCCACATTTGATTTTTTTGTCGATTGACCATTTTCGGCAACATGCGAATTATTTGATGTCTTACCACCTAAGCTCGATTGCTTTGACTTACGATTCGTATATTCATTCATCTGTTTGGAATTGTTTTTCTGTGAAAAAAAGAGAATTTTCCATTATTGCTTCCAATTTTTTTTTAATCAAAGCAAAAAAAAATGTGAAACTTACCAAAATGATAACATCTGGTTTGACGACTTTGTTAAGATATTCATCGGAAATGAAGATCAGCTCAACCGATCCAACATTGTCCAGTTGATCCAATTCGGTCGATAGTTGCGATACATTGTCCACTGATTTAGATATTGCTTTTTGTTTATCGATTTTAGTTGGTTCATCGGTTTCGGTGTCATCGTCCATTGAACGTGATGAATTGGTCATTTTGTTTGCTTTCATATAGCGCAACATTTTTCGCTTTGTATCAACAAATATCTCTTGATTAAGTGCTTTTTTCTTAAAATCATCGGTAATGACAATTACTTTGGCATTTGTGTTGGCCAATTTTTGTGTGAGATGTGATGATGATGATGATGATGTTGTTGATGATTTTGAGCTAGTTGATTTTAACACAGTGGATTTGGTGTCGTTTTGTCGAATCCACGGATCGTATGCATTGTTTGCATCATGTTGTGTACCAACTGATTTTGTTTTATTATGATTGTCTGAATGTGATACGCTTGAAGACATTGATTTACAACTGCTGCAATTGCATTTGCTTGAGCTGTGCGTACTGGTGAAGACTGTTGTTAATGTGTCCGACGATGTGAAATCACGTAATTTTTGTGACGATGATATTGGATGCGGATCAGTTTTCGTACGCACTTTTATTTTGGCTTTTGATTTTTCACCATTGTCACGATTTATACTGAGCGATGATAAACGACGTGCACTCTTTTCCAAACCGCCAATTCGCAAAATCAGCACATCATCCGGTTTTGACGTAGACGATGATGAATCTTTTGAATCATTGGTCGTCAATGTCTTCATTGACATGATTGTTTTGAATGATTCTGATTTTTGTTTCAACGATGTTTCGCTACTTGAATTACCATTATGATTTGTCGCTTTTGGACTGCAAACTTTTTCATTCAGCGAATTTGTATCGGATGATTTGGTCTTGTGCACTGATGCCAACGGAATCGGTGATAATTTCTCATATTCACGAACCGGCACATCTTTTAAGTTACGCAATAGATTTGTGGTGTTGGTGATGGTGGTGGCAGTCGTGGCAGTTGTAGTGGCAGTAGCGGTGTTCGAAGTCGATGCAGTTCGTGTCGACGATGATGATGATTTCGATGAAGCCGCACACCGGCATTTATGTGATATTGCATGATCTTTGCCCTTTTCATGTTTTTTTGTTGTTGATTTAACAACACCATTCAAACTGTCTGTTTTATTAGTGTTCATTGGTTTTGTGGATTTTACATTGTTTTGGTCCAGGTCATTCGTACCGAGTTTACCCACAGCTGAATCATGTTTTTTTGGTGCATTTGTTGATGATGATGACGATGATGAGGTTTGTTTTGCTTTTGCCTCATTTGGTGATTGTTGTTGTTGTTGTTGATTCGCTGATTGTGGGTCGGCACAAATGCCGGACCCCTTATGCTAAAGAAGTTTTTCAGTAGTCGAGTTATTTGTGGTTGTTGAACTAATTGTAATCGAAGCGTTAAGTATGTCATCGCCTGCAAATGAACACACATAGCAAAAAATTATATATTTACTTCAAATTGAAAGAAAACAAACCAATCCAGGTAAATTTACAAAAAAAAACTATATGTCAAATCGATAAGTAGCTCACCTGAAGCATCTTGAGCGCTAACATCAGAGTTCAGTTGCTGTCAGTTGATGAGTTCGACGGATACAAATTGCTTTAATCTCTCTAAATATTGCGTGTACATTTCAACGTCATTGTGTCCAGCGCCCTATTTAATAAAAACAAACAAAAAATATAAAATTGATTATTATTGATACCGCATTGATCGGTTTATTTTCATTTTCAATGGAATTTTATTGAAATTTTAAAATGACATTTCATTTTATGCCATTCATATCAATGTGTTTCCATTTACCTCAACCCAAAGTGGTTCAACAGCACGTGGACATTTTTCGTAGATCGTGAGACCGTGCGAGAAATCAATGACCTCATCCTCTGTCCCTGGAATTACAATCGATTTATTTTGAAAATAAAACAATATTTATTACAGAAAAACAAAACTACTATGTACTTACCATGAATCACTAGTACAGGTGATGTCACCTTCGGTACCTTATCAATACTAGGGAATGCATCAAAGAACCACGTTCGTCGTGTTGCTGGAAATGCGACACGCATACCAGACATCAACGGTGAATGAAGTATTACAGCTCCAACTTCGTATCTAATTTCATTGCGATAAAATAAACAACGAAAAAGAAAGAAAAACACACCGATAAATAAACAAAATGTCAATGGGAAAGAGAGCGTGTGTTATATATTTACCTGCTTGCTAAATCAACTGTTGGCACAGTACCTATACTTTGACCGTACAAAATGATATTTTCGGGACTGATGCCGTAACGAGTGCGTAATGCATGCCATGCGGCATCAATATCAGCATATAAATTCTTTTCGGTTGGTTTGCCAGTGCTCATTCCATAGCCCGAATAATCATAACTAAATATATTGCAATTTATGCGTTGACCTAAACCTACGAAAAAGCTTGTCATTTGGCCCAAATCAACGGCATTCCCATGTGAAAAGAGTAGCGTGAATCTGAAATATAAATATAAAAAAAAATCGAAAATTATTAATTCCGTTTTCAAAAATGATGGACTATCATGCTAAAAGGATAAATTGAAATGAAAATTTATTTCATCGAATGGCCAAATAAACGTTCATTGTTAAATCAATTCTATTTAACTGTCAATATTTATTCAAAATTGAAATACCGATATAACCTCACATTTTCGTGTATCATTGAAGCGATCACATCAAAAACTGACATTTATAGCTTCTTCTTCAATTTCCAATGTGTACACACATTTTGGTTGACAGCGGAGACTTTTATCATATCTAAGATTAATTGCTGTCGATGTTAAGTGGTTTGTACTTTGTTTTTGGCTTTGCGTCGAACCGAAATAAAATCCAAAATAAACAAATACCATTCCGTGCAAACGACCTTTTACGGTAAATATAAACATAGAAGCATATTGTGACACGCAAAATGCTTTACAGAATGAGTCATTTCACAGAATGTGTGTTGTGTGTTTTTTTTTCGCTCTATCGATACCTTAATGGTTTGTCCCGAATGCAGTTAACATTGATATAAAAGTGCTGTGTTTATCGGATTCAATTTCGCCTGTCTCGAATGGCATAGAGCAGTGATAGCTTTTTGTTTTTTTTTTTAATTTGTTTAATTTAGCAAAAACAAACCGGTTTAAAGTCAGACGATAAGAATTGGCTATGCATGTCTGTTTTGTTCCTTCTTTAGAAAATTATCTGCCCTAGCTAATGGTTTTGTTCGTATTTTTTTTAATTTAAAATAGATTTTGATGAAATGGCATTACGTTCAACATTGGGTCGTTTAGAAACCAAATCGACGCTTTTCCTTTTGTGCGATTTACAGGATAAATTTCGTTTGGTGGCAAATTACTTTCCGGCAATTATAACAAATGCACAAAAGTTATTATCATGCGGTGCACAGCTCAATATTGATTTAATTGTGTCTGAACAAAATCCCGTGAAATTGGGAAAAACGGCGCCAGAACTATGTATTTCACATGCAATCGGTGTGTATCCCAAATTTGAATTTAGTATGATGAAGGATCCAACACTGCACAAATCAATTACGAATTTAAATAATGTAGAAAGTATTATTCTATTTGGCCTTGAGACACATATATGCATCGAACAAACGGCCATCGATTTATTGTACAACGATTATGATGTGCATATTGTTGCCGATTGTACGACATCAAGATCAGCTGAAGATCGATATTTAGCATTTCAACGGCTTCGTCAAATTGGATGTTTTGTAACAACCAGCGAAAATGTCATATTCAAATTGTTGGGTGGAAAAAATCATCCGAAATTTTCCGAAATTCGATCGTTAGTCCGTGATAAATCAGTTGAAAGTGGCCTTGCCGATTTAACAACCGAACAATTTTAATAACACCGACAGATAAAGTATTTGGAACAGAAAAAAAATGTTTTATCATTCACCTCAATTTGGTTAAGGTTATAATCTTATCATTTTTTTTCATGTAATAATTTGGTTGATGCGAAATGAAAAATTGATGAATAAAAATAAAGCGGTTGATTAAAAATCATACGCTTTCATAAAGCGGTGACAAGACATTATTAAAGAAACATGTATATTGGATTTGATTTTTTGTTCTCATAGGAAAGTGGAGTGGGAGCGTTTGAAATTTAATGTGAAAAACAAGAGTCAAAGTCTCAATTGAGGACAGAAAATCGATGATGAATACGTCGTTCGACCATATGGCTTAATCACATTGAGTTATAAATTGTGGAGCAAGCCAGATGCATAAATATGCGAATGATGTATGCAAATGTGGCAGCCGGTTGTATTTCGATTATATTAAGCCGCGCAATACATAGTGGCAGAGAAAGAGAGAGAGAGAGAGAGAGAGAAAGGGAGTGGATTGCACCAATGCCATTTTCACACAGATGTTTCCACTTAGTGTGTTTATGTGTAAGATAATTTTTCTATCGTTCTCACGACTTGGCTGCTTAAAGCGAACTTATTTGATGAATGAGCCATGACGTTAATCAATACATCTACAATTCACACAACAAATCATTTCAAACGTTCCATGAGACGTGTACAATTGCACTTGCCTAAATATTAATCACATTAAGTGCATGCTCCATATATATAAATTACATGTTGATGAAGTGTATTAATGATGACTTGAACAATATGCCTTTGCACAATTCTATGTCAACTAACATATCAAATTGTAATACATTTTGTGTGTGTATATGCATTTGGCTCGCACCACATTGCAATAGTAGCATAGCAGCAGCAGCATCAACACAAACGGCCACTGTGACAACAACACTATAAAATCTGTGTGATGCACACTCTGTGCATATAACTCTCTCTTTCATTAGACACAGTGCGCGTAGATTGGATGCAACACGCGACGTGTTTCCATACAAATTGCATTTAAAATTTCATTTTTCATGTAAGTGGTTCACATCTCTTCCGTTGGTTGAGGGGATGAAATGTTCCGATTTATATGTAAGTGAAAAAAATAAGTGCACACAGAGCGAACGAGAGATGAAAAGATAAGGAGGTGAAGTGAGTGAGTGAGAGAGAAGTAGTTGGACGTAATTATCGATCCAAGTGTTGTTTATCTAACAGAAGCTCTGGATGGATAAAATACAGCCATTACCATAGCCGTCACTTGCGTTTCAATTTGTATGTGTGTGTGTGATTCTTGTTCTAAAAACGGTTTTTTGCGCCATCAGTCTAACAAATGCTCTGCTCTAACAGCGCATTACAATTCGCTTTCTAATGACGCGTAAAAAATTCGATTATTATTATGTTTTTTTTTTTTTAATTATTTATATAATTTTTTTACTAGTACTGTAATGTAATTGATTAATCGTCATGCTATCTTACCTGGCATTTGCACTGCATCGTACGAATAGGCAAGCGATGCGATTTCCCCTTGATGATCGTGTATAAAATGCTTCGAAACATTCTTTTTCACGATCGCTGTATTGCCAATCGGCCCGATCCAGTAATGTCATTGAGAATTTTGTTGAGCTCACTTCATCTGCTTTCAATTCATACGAGCATTCGGGCGGTAGAAATGCCAATTTTGAGGCTATTCGACCCGGACATGGTGGACAGCAAAACAGACAGCATAGCTCACTCAAGCTTAAGCCGTTCATTGCTTTGCGTTTTGGTGGGTTTTCTTCTGTGTTGAGAGCAATTTTGAATGGATTTGTTTGTTTATTTTTTTGATGGGTAGGGTTTTGTGGTTATTGATATTACTCTGACGTGTCTTTCGATGTGTGATGAATAGTTATTGTTTTCTGGTTGAGTTTCAAGCGTCTCACAAATGCAGCAACAATGGAATTTTTTTTGATCAGGATAATGGGTTCCTTATGCTTTCCGTTCAAATGGCAGTATATGATGCTTTTATTTTTTTTTATAACTTAAGATACGCGATGGCAATTACAAAAGACTTTATTTATAAATGAATTTCGTCACAATGTTATCGGTCGATTTAGATTCGACTCAAACAGGATTTGAAGTAATAAATGTTTATCGCTGAAATGAATCGCACACTATTTGCATTTCAGAGTATTTGTTTTGTATTTGAAGATGATGAGCGCACAAAATTGAATTTGAAAACAAAAAGAAAAGAAGCAATCATAAAATATAACCAGGCTTAACACAATGTGTTGATGTGTCGGTTCACGCGCTCCAGAAAAGTTATAATAGATTCATCAAAGGGCGAATTAAAAATCGATATTCGATTTTTCTTTATGTTGTGTTGTGAGTGAGTGTGGTTTTTTCGCTCTCTTTCTCACCACCTCCCCAAAAGATGTTTACAATGTTGCTAACTATAATTTATTTAGTTCATGCTATCCATATGAAATCGATGGTAAGTAAGGCAACAATTCTTCTTCGTATAGCGGCTGCTTATGATTGTTGTTGTTTTAGTTTGATTTATTTTCCCTTTCGATTTTTTACGTTGGCAGTGAGATTGATATTCAGATCCGGATTTGATTTTCTTTTTGAACTATTCGGCGTATATTTCGTTTAAGACCGGGATTCACATAGAATTAAAATTCTATGACTGTGGGATGCGAAGAATAATAGGCAACTTTTACTATTGCTTGTGTCCATAAAGAAAACTGGATATTATTGTTCGTGTGTATTTTGTTCGCTAATGCGTTATGTCAATTTATTGCTTGTATGTGTGTATGTGTGTGTGTACATTTAAATGCGCGCCTATTCACAAGCAAAGTGTTTTTGGCTCGAGCTAATGCCACTGGAATTCAATTTGTCGTTTGATTCACCAGCTCTCTCTCTGTTCGTTTGTTGTTTGTCGTCGTCGGTAATCTGAAAATGAAAATAATCGAAAACGATTAGCATCTGTTGAGAATAGTCAAATGTGTATATATGTATATATTAAAATGTGGTGTGTCTCCTAAAAATAACACTGACTTATCGGTATTTTTCTGCGGAAGTGAGTGGCCGACCGAGAAAATGAAAGAGAGACAGTGTGTGTGTGTGTGTGTGTGTGTGAGAGAGAGGGAGTGAGCAAGAGAGAGATAAACTCAATTCACATTGCTGCTTGAGCTGATGTGGTTTTGTTGTTGTTATTGCTGTATTATCGTGACGGGCACTGCCGGTTGTTATGCGTTTATAATGGGCTCAATATTCGAAAACGTTCCGAACTCTTTGTTACACATTAATTTTTAAAATCCAATTTTATCGCAGCATCAAATTAATACTCCATTGTAATGCGTTCGCAACTCACACACGAAACAAAAAATTGTTTTTGTTTTAGACATTCATTCACTTGGTGAGCATATATGTTTCACATGAATTCAGAATAGGTAAATGCGCACATATTGACTCTGTTTCTGAACAAAATTAATATTTCCAATATCAAACAAATTAATTTTTTAAAACAATAATTCGGTCGGTGTTCGAGTTTTTCTGTCTCTTTTTTCACTTCGACTTTTTGTTTAATTTCATAAATACAACGAACAATAGTTGAAACGTGGTTCTTTTCGTATATATATAGTTGTTGTTGTTGATTGTGCGATTCGATTTAGCTTTTATTTTGAAATATTAAAGAAAAACATGTACTAATAAATGATTTCTTGTCGTTGAATGTGTGACTTTTTTTGGTCAAATATATAGATAAATGTTCAATTTGAAACGAAAAAAATATATATATTAGAGTTTGTTCTATGCACGACACGGTTCGCCTCGACTCTTTTTTTAATGAGTCTTGAAAAGATCCTTGCACTAAATTGTTGAATATTAACTAAAAGTCTAAAGTAATTTGCACGTCGCGTGTATGTATGTTTTGTGTATTTAGCTATTTAATTGACACAATGAGAATGGGAAGAGAAAGAATGTCCATGGGTATTCCAAGCAGAATTTGTGTTGTTGTTGTTGTTGTTGTTGTGTATGAAAACCATCAAAACGTATCTGCCATAACATGCGTGAATGCGAAATTTATAATTTAATTACAAATTTTTTTTGCACAGAACACGGTGTATCCAGAATAATAATAATAAACACGATGCGAATAAACAATGTAACTAGAAACAAAAGTTCTCACATACTAAAATAGGGAGCGTTTACGCGTTCCAACAAAACATATAACACGAAATAAACGAGAAATCGCACAACTATTTCTAAACAATGGCGAAAACAAGAGCGCGACGACGATGACGATGATGATCAACCAGCAGCAATAGCAATAGCAGTAGCAACAGCAAAGACACAAAATTTTATTCCAATGCCGATGGTTACAAACTCAAATGATGAATGCGATGCGAGCGATGAAGAAGAAGAAAAATAGTAACCATGTATCATTTGATGTTGTTGTTGTGGCTTGATTCTATGTTTGGTCGGCTCTTTATTCTTCTTTCTCTCTTTCGATAGATATTCTATTTGGGTGCTTGTATAAGTGTTGAAAGAGAGAAGGAGAGAGTACACTTCTTTGTTTCGTTTTGTTCAGCGCAATTAAGATATACACTTTTCTACTAATGTTTGTTGTTGTCGTCGTTGTTGTTTTAAATTTTTTTTGTTCGTTCTCCTATTCTGTATGTGTGTGTTTTTTCTCTTCTTAAATTGTTGTTATGTATGTAATACAATACCATGGAATACCACAGCCCGAACTTATTACCGGATTTAATTTCACTGAATCATTTTTTTTTGTGTACTTTGTTTTTGTTTTGTAAAATAAATCACACAAAATGCTCACGATTTCATTCACTGAATTGTTGACACTTTGCAATCGATTTGAAATGTTGTGAGGATAACACTTTACCCGCAATTTAAAATTGAAAATACTGCTTTGCTTCAGATTGAAAAGTGCAGTTTTGCAAAAGCCTTTTCTTCTTCTTCGTTATACACACTCTTACTCATACACACCGTCTATGCTATTTGAGTTGTGAACTGTTGAGAGTTTCATTACGATAGACGCCATGACACATAGAATGCAATCTAAATGTCTACACATACATTCAGCCGTCATGAGCATTGACAGACTCAAACAACACACACTCGCCCTAAAACTGTCAAACACATGCATACACAATACACACACGCTCACGTACAGCTCACAGCCGCACCGTTGACAGGCTTTTCAGTTTACTCAACATCAGAAACACAATCTTCCTAACCATTCTGCCGTGCGACAATCAAATCGAATAGATTTATCAATCTGCAGATATTGCACTCAAAACTATGAAATGTGGAGAGAAAAAATGCTTATATTTTTTGAATATTTTTTAATTCGATTTTTTGTTCAATCTTAAAATTGCCGAATGCATAAAAAGAATGAAAAATATCAATCATCTTTTTAAAAAAATTGAACGAACATTTTTCAATAGCTACTCACGACCTCTATTGGTGAATAGATTCAATTTAACAGATATTTTAAACGATTTTCTGTTATTTTTGTATAATGAATCATTTCTTTAAAAATAAACTAAACGCGTTGACAAACTATTCTTGCACGTTTTGTCGGGCTTGGTATTTTAACAAACTATTGATTGATACAAGATTCGGTTTGGTTGAGACACAAGCAAGGCGCCAGTTATCAACCTGAGACCTATTTTTTCAGATTCCAGAGCTTAATCCACACAAACGGTATTTTTTTCTTTTTGGATAATTCGCTCAGGATAATTATTTTGCTTGGGAATGATATTTTTTCCAAGAATTTGTATGAAAATCTGGAAACATCTCGTTTGTACGTTATATCTCAAGTTCAAATCCAACGTTTTTGATTGAAATTGATCAGTTTGTAGCTTTTGATATGCTCTTTTGGAAAAACCGGACCAGAATCGTCGATCAACTTTTTGAAGTGGCTCAAAAAGCCGTAGTTTGTTGTAGTAGAGCTACTCCAAAGGGCCGATCTTGTGGTTCATGGGGATAACACTCATATGTATCCATATCCGCGGATCTACAAATGGTTCTGTATGATGCGACAGATATTTTCTTTTATACCAATGGCCATATATATATCCATACTCGGTGCCATAAACGAAGATATTTGTCACACCGAACAGATCCATTTTTTGAACCGCAGATTCCATTTGACTGTTTAGCGAAATCAAGATATTCCATCATTTTTTCGTATCACAGTGTAGAAAAGAATGTCTTTTACCTTAAAATTCTTCCAAGCTTTAAGTTTAACAGAATATTGCTACTATTTTTTGGTCATAAAGTAAAATATATTTTTAACAATTTTCCATGTAAAATGTTTTACTAAATAAAAAAATTTCAATTGGAATTTCAATTTATAGTTGGAGATTTTGCTAAATAGTGTTCATGACTCTTAAAATTAATGGCGGTGTTAAATGTGTTAATTTACCATATAAAAAATCTATATGATTGAAATGTTCCATTTTATCCACGGCCACCACTGATCGTTTAAGTTCATTTCTTAGAACCGGTATCGCCTAAAAAATGCAGATTGTATGTTTCAAACTCTTTTTCCAGAATTTCCAAAAAATTACCTCTGATACCACCAATTTATCATTAGTTCCATAGACAATGTGTAACTTTGTTTTTATGTTTTTCAAATTATACTCTGGCGGTTTTGACATTCCATACAGAGCCACATTTTTGGAATGGCCAAAATCATACTTTTGAAATCGTTCTGAAATATATTTGCTCCAATATAATTTCAATAATAATCGAATATAATGATAACGCATTAAGTCACAATTACTTTTAGACACCTAAGGATTCAACACGCAAATCCAATACAAAAAAATAGATTGGAAAAATCTTTGATGCTTTGAATAGTAAAGTTCGTATGAGTGGAAAATGCATCCCAAATTTTTGGTTTTGTTTTAATCTCCATTGAATTATGTATTACACAATTTTAACTGGATAAACAAGCTTCACATACCATGTCCATCCCATCGACATATGTATTTTTTTATATATAAACTAAATTACCATCTATAAATAAGACTGCATACTTACTACTATTTAAGAGTTGCCCATAGTGAACAAATTGTCTATAACTTGCTCCGTTGGGATTAATAGTTAAAGCATCCATCCATATATCCTGTTAAGAAAATGAAGAAAAAAACATTCAATTTTCTTCTAATCCGCATTCAATGTAATATTTTACATCATAATAGCTGCCCGGCGCACTTTCACCCATTACAAATTCGAGATAAAATTTACACATTTCATCAATATTCGAAGATGAACAAAATTTTGCCATCAATTTTGATAGTTTTGAAAAATCCGCATAACTGAACCATTCAACTAAATCAAGTTTTTCAACTATTGCCTACTCAAAATAGGTTAATTTAAGGTTTTATTGGAAATATTATAATATATTTTTTGAACAAACCAACAATGCATTCATGACATTCCCCGAAGGAAACATCAGTGATCTTAGCGATGACGAGTGCTTCATTATAACTGCACCGGCTAACAAGTGTACCGATCTGAATTTTTTATTGTATTCAGGACGTTCGCACAATAAAACAGTAACTGCTGTGCCACCTAATCATCATAATCACCAATAATAATATAATAATAATGTAATATACACATAATATATAATAGTTCACCTTGCGAGTGCCCAACGTAAGTTAATTGATGTTCTTTAGTTTGGTTTAACACAAAATCAATCATAGCCGGAAGATCATATACCCCAATCTCATGCCAACTGAACATCCAAAACTCTGATTGATCAGGATCAAGCGTGATGTGTTTACGTGAGAATGTGCTACCCCTTGCATTCCCTATTCAAAGAGAATGACAAACGATGTAAATTATTGTATGGGTTCGCGGAAAAATGAAATGCATTTGAAATACACACCTAACCAAACGTCAAATCCTCGCTGTGCAAAATAATATGCTATAAAATCGAATATCAAATCAATAGATTAAAATCAATATTACCTATTCAAAAAATCACCAATTCATGCGAAGGAACTTGTATTTTGGATATAATCTCCTCTGAAATTCAACTTACCCATTGAAATATTTGGATAAATTACATAATCTCGAGAGCAAGCAGCTAATCCATGCATTAAAAACATTGTCTTATTTTTGAATGTTTCGATTTTTGGTGGGACGAGGTGATAAAGTCCCAAAATGTACCCATCTTCAGTTGTTACGTTATGTCGCTCTATCTCAACACCCGCCTTTTGCACTCTCTGAATCTTAGAATGCGTAGATTAAAACGATTTTTTAGTTGTCCCTTTAAAAAAACTTACCATACCATCCATTTTTGAAAAAGGAAAATACTGAACAAATAAGACGAAAATTGCACGAATTTTCATATTTCAATGAAATAATGCAATATTTTGTGATATCAATTTGATATATTTATTTATATTTACTACGAATATTGAAGGAATTGATCGAAGTTTTCGGCTTATTTGTGCAGCTGACAATAGAGAACTATGCAAAACAACTAATTTTAAGTCAATGTTATCCCTCTGGATGGTATTGTTCAGAATATTTTTCGCTATGTTTGATCATATAGTTTTTTTAATCAAAACCATCGATGATCATTCAGGTCTAGTGCTCACCATTATATTATTAAATTTTCTTTGCACAAAATATTGTCTGGTAATAAGTGGATCAAAAGTGGCTGGGTCAAAAGATCAATACGCCGATATGAATGGTTCAAAGCTTAAGAGTATTTCTGTATCTTTCCAATTAGAATTTTTTCGACTCCCACATCTATCAGATATACCCAATAAATGCCATTTGAATAACGAGAAGATTTATCTCCAAATTTATTCACATAATTCGTAATTGTGTGGATGAAACCGTACAATGGAAATGACAACAATTTATTAAATTAGTGCCATTAAACATTCTAAAACCATTTAGATTAAATTTTAACGTGAAGAAGATAAGAAAAATACTGAATTTGAAAAAAAAAGTTAATTTGATGATTGAGAAACTGAGGCAATTTCGATCCAACTCATTTAGAGGCAACAATTGTCACACATGAAGTAGTTGTTTATGAAATCTGAAAGTATATTCCGGTGTGTTCAATTGCTTTTGATATCACAAATGTTGTTTTTTGCCACCTCAACGTGTTCGCTTAATTTAACATTTTACCAGTGATGGTTTTTTGCTGTCTGAATAGCGCTAGATATTCGCAGCGTATGTCCAGCATTGCTGCCCAGATGCTGATTCGATGCGTTCACCGCACGCCACTGTGTGGTACAAAAAAGTGTGTTCCGCATGCGGCATACACCATCACTGCATTTTACAGACGTTATTGAAGGATGAAAATGTGCATTATATTATATTATTAAATTCGCTTAATAATGATTTCATTGTTGTTGTTTTTCAAATTCGGACACTTTTTTCTTGTTTTGTTTACGAAAACCCAATATTTTGAAATGTTGAAATATATGGTATTCATATACAATTTATTTACGATCTATTAATGAATTTAAAAAAACTACCTTCATATGATATGTATTGGTTCATATTCGTTCATTGATCATAAGTATTTATTATAAAACGCAAATTCCAATTTAATATTCTGATTCATATCCATTTAAATTCATGCTATCACATTTTCTATCGAAACAACAACAATCGGTTGAACAATCTCGTGAAAGCTTGAGTTGTGACAAGAAATTTGCTGGCTTCGTTTCGTGTGCCCCAAGTTGCATATGCCTTTTGTACTAATTATAGTCGCATTCATTGAAAACTTGAAAATGGCATTAGCGTTTATAAAGATCGTATAAAATAAAAAATATGTTCATTTGAGAATACAAATGTATGTCAGGTCGGAACATTTCCCCTCCTAAATTTAAAAATTAGTTAGTTTTACCTTGGCAAATTACCAAGAAATCAGATGAACTACTCAAAAAGTACCAAAATCACATCAAATTAATTCCAACAATATAAGAGTGTACGAAATGAAAATGTGAAACTAATCTAATTATTTTTTCATACTTTTATAGTAATTGTATTCTACAGAAATATCTGAAAAAATAATTGCCTTTATAGTCTTATCAAAAAATTATAGCGGAATATCTCATCCAAAATCCCGTTGATATTAGCGTGCTTCTGCCTTAATTCAATGGATTCACGCATATTCATTGATATGCGATATTTTAATTTAATCACACAGACTAATTCGAAAGCTTTTGCTTTTAATTTTTTAATTAAATTTCTCTTCAAACAAATTTTCACTAATAATTGCATTCAAAATAATTTATTAAACACAGAATATTTTTTTTTACACGATATTTTAATTTAATGGATCTAATATTTTTAATTACTACTTGTTCTAAAGTTCAGAGCATTACGTTTGTGTATAAATGTGTAAAAGACACTTTTACGCTCGTTTTTTGTGAAATGATAATTTGTAGCTGAAAACAAAAGGTCTACTGCTCTCTCCTGAAAATTTGTGTAGGGGGAATCAAGAGGTCTCTTGAGTCATTTTCATTTTTAGCGATATCTTTGAATAAAAAAAATCGTGACACATTTTGATTTAAAATAATTGTTTTAAATTATCAAATGCCACTTTTTATCTATTGGTGACATAATATTAAATTTTACTAAATAATAATTATTTTAGTCATTTTATCGATTTTGGACGTGTATAAAAGTTTCTTTTATGATCAAATGACTTAAATTCATAGATAAATATATTTGTACATCAATGTTCAAACTTTTCTTTTAAATAGTAAACAACGAGGCAACTTGAAAACAAATTAAAATTAAATTGATAACAATTTGATATTCATGAATATTTTCAAATACTGAAGTTCACAGATTATAGAATCGCAGCCAACAACATTTTCGGCTGCGAAGTATTTATACTATGACTCAGGGTTCTCAAAATGGGATTTTAATTCAAAATCACAAATCAAGTAAATTGATTTGATTTGACTTCTTTTATTTGAAAAATTTCAAATCAAATCATTGACTTGTTGATTTTCAAATCCTCAAATCTGATAATCCTGCTGTGATTTGTGTCCAACAATTTGATAAGTTCGCATGTTTTATAAATTACAATTCAATTATAGACTCATCTGCGTCGTTGTTTAATAGAACTGTGATACAATGAAAAAAATAAAAACCAATAAGTGGTATAAAAGATCTTCATTCGGTTTCAGTAAGCTAATGGACATGGTCCAAGTTTGAGTGCGAAAAATTAAAAAAATCTCCGCAACTCATTAGTTAGAAATGTTCGTCTCTTTTATTGTGCTACTCGTTAAAAATGAAACATTTAATTCTCTTTATCGATTTTTTTGTTCAGTGGTAAGTATCTGAAGTGATTTTTACTACTAATATTTTAAAAAACAACTATGAAACACAAAAACTGTTTAAAATATGAATTAAGTATTTCTTAAAAATATTAAGAAATTACCGGTGATTTTAAGAATACAATAATTCAATAATTTTCATTTCACTTTATAGTTCTTTTGGTGAATACTATGTGATGAATGGTAAAGTCGAAAGAGTAGACTATGCAATAAATCCCAGATTTCCAGATGTTATGTTGCTTTCAAAGATGATAGCAGTCGTTATATTATCATGCCAGCTCAAGTATCGAATTATGTAAGTTCGCTGAAAGATGCAAGGTGTTGGAATATCTAGTGTGGGCACGATGAGATAATGGATGTAGCATTTGGTAACAGTACCGCAAAATGGCGAACGGCTATAAATATCTATTGAGCTATCATCTTTTTAATTTAAATTATTGCCAAATAAAATTTGTAATAATAGAATTTCTAAATAAAAAACCTTAGCTCCTTCATTATATAGCTATTGATTTAGCTAAAATTTTGCCAGTGATGTTTTTTCGATTTAAAACTTGTCGATGACAAATGTGTAGTTGTTTTTAAAAAAAAAAAAAAAAAAAAAAGTTTGACAAATTTGCTAGTAAGAGTCGATTCAAGGCGAATACGAAAGATGTTTATATTTTTGGTGTAATGATATGATAAAGTCCAAAAATATTTACGTCTCCATTTGTAACCTTAGGTCGCTCTATCTCAACACCTGCTTTTTGCACTTTCGAAATCTTATACATATATGTATTGTATATTTTTTTAAGTAATCTAAAAAACAACTTACCATCCATTTGTAAAAAAGGAAAATACTGAATAAATAAAATAAACGTGTAGCTGACATTGAAATTCCCCTGCTCTGGCTTATGACGATTTGTGTAAGAGGGAGCAAGAGGTGATTTTTCTTGAGTCATTTTCATTTTCAGGGATACCTGTTTTTTTTTTTAATTGTATCTATTAATCAAAAATAACAATACCTCTCTACTAAAGGAATCCCATGATATCTATAAATATTTCAACGAGTATTATGTGCATTTATTCAATTAAAATGTGTACATGATAAATGATTTCCTTCATTTCCACGAATTTGAATCCATTATTTCAACAAAGTAACCAGTTCTTGGTCTATTTCATAGAAAATATTGTATCTTAGAGAGTTTGTATAGAGAGTACATTGTGTACATAATATTGACGGTAAAATATGAATCAATTCAGAGAATATTTCGAAAAGCTAATGGTCTGAGTAGTGTTCAGGATTATTGGTCAGACTGAAAAACACGTTCTTAATGGATAAATTTAATAATAATTAAAGCAATGATATTTGAGCATTGCTTGTATATACACACTGCGTATATGAGTCAATTCAATTGACGCAAGTACATTTTGACAGTATTGTGAGAAAGTTTACAGTGCAGGCAAATTACGTTTCAGTGTTTATGAAGCCGAGTGACCACTTAACGATGAACGGACCAAGTGTCTCGCTTTGAATGTGCTGTAAACTTCATAGTCCTTGATTTTCTTATTGAATAATACCAAGAAAACTTTCCGTTTATCCAATACAATTCCGAAATGTTGAAGTATATGTGTACCAATTTATCCATTATATTGTCAAGATTACAAGTATTCTTCGTGCGTGCAACTCAAGTGATTCAGTACATTGATATACATCAAGCCAAGCAATTTGAAAGCAAAACATGTAAACATGCTGAATAAATGGTTACAAGGAGCAAATCACAATATGAATCATTAAGTCGAATCGTGTATGAATTGTGCCACAATTATTGTGGTGTGAATTGGTTGATAAATGGTGTGCAATGATTCATTCGTTGAAATGAATCACCCCAATTTGTAATGCAATGTTAAATTAGCGCTATTTGATCGATATTTTTCTGTAAAGTCGTTGAAATTAAAGCGCGTCCATTTATATTCGTTGAAATCATTGTCGTAATTCACTTTATGATGCAGCCCCTGGCTGAAGTGCTCTTATATTGCGAGATCAAAATGCACATGGTCAGAAAGAATGAAAGTTGCTTCAGTTGGATACTTATCCTGTGTTGTTTCAGCAAGCAGCCGCCATGGAGTACACATTGTCATGTTCTCATTAAAAATCATCATGTTCTTTTTCTTATTTTTTTTTTATTTTTTGTTAGTTGTTTTTATTTCGTTAAACTTTTATTTAGGACAAATTGTACGATTAGGTCGAGTTTGTAGACTTGTTCTCGACAAATGTTACTATTTTTCTTTGGTTTTGCGAGATGTTATTCTCATACATCGTGTGTGTGTGTGTTTTTTTTTTAATTTTTTTGTGTGTTTGTGTTTGTTTGTTATGTTACGTAGCTTCAGAAGAAAATATCTTTCAAAAGCGATCTGAAGTGCACCATTTTAAAATGTCGGCCGAGCAAAAGTGGTTAAGCGAGAGAGATATTAAGGATCCTTCAGGAGGAACGGGGAATCGACCAAATCACATTTAGTCGTTGAAATGTAAGTGTGGACAGATTTGGTATAATATAGGAGTCTAATGATGGTGTTTTTTTCGAGTGGGAAAATATGTAACTTCAAAACAACTTTGTTGTTCATTTAAAGTGGTTTTTGTGGTCGAAAATGCTTGAAAGTTGTTGTTGTTTTTTTACTTTCGTTTTCACTTCAAAATGATGCACATTTCAGATTGCAATTGGTTGCGTTGCTGCAACACTTTTAACATAAATGCTTTTGATAAATACAATTAAGTCCTAATCAATAAAGTTATTGTTTTCTTATCCATAACTTTGGTTCGCATCTGCTGTTTCTTAAAATGTAATATTACTTAAAGTGTTAAATTGTAATTATGAATAATCATGAAATTTAGCAGCTGTCCGATATTGACGATATTGGTAGACGACACACATTCACATCCCGCCACCGCGCGCACACACCCTCAAGATGTGATATTCGTGTGCTCTTGGTTTTGCGGGTGCGGTGGCGATGATGATGCGAACACGCGATGAGCGAAACAAATGAACGAATCAGCAAAGCGAGCATTGGCATGCGATGCCGTCATTTCGTATCAGCTGATAAACTTGATGTGTATACCTTTTTTGTAATGAAAATTTGATAATTGTGCCATTTTTATGAGATTACGCTAATAAAATTTTATGTCTCAACTTAAGTCAAACAGTTTTTCTTTCCCTCCCTAGTTCTGGTTAGAGTGTAGTTGTGTGTGTCTGTGTTTTTTTTTCTATTTGTTGTTCCCGCCACATCCATTTTTTTCTTAACTTTCTTTCATTCTTTAGCAATAGCAATTACTTGAAATATGCTGCGATTTTATATCCATCTTCGTTATCTCTCCGAATAACAAACAAAATCCAAAAAAAAAAAAAAATCGCGATAAAAACTTGTTGATATATTTTGATGTACGACGATGAAATTTGAGTTAATAGCGTGTGAAATGCGGGGGCAAATTTTTATTATGATACGGTCATTATATTGACCGGAAAAAAGTAACAATGATGACGATTCCATTTTGTACGAATCGCGAACATTTTCTGTGGCCAAAAAGTCGGTAGTATTCGAACAGTAAATGAACAGTAAATTAATAAATAGTCGGTTTATATTTCTTTGTTTGATCCGTATGCGTTTATCAAAATGAAGACATATATGGAGAAATTGTGAATTTGAGCATTTGAACACAATTTCACATCATGAATGTTAAATGTAATCTTAACTTAAATTTTTCCTCCCATAAATTACCGACAACACACTTTTTTTTTATTCATTTTGTTTTTTTTTGGCTGAATTTACTTTCTCAGAAGTTGAAATTTCATTCATACAATTTCCAAACAAGAAATGTTGAGAAATTTAAGTTTTCCAAAGTGCATGTGTTTATTTTTTTTTGCTGTCGCCATAAATTGTTTAAGTTATTCGATTGTGGTAATATTCGCAAATGTATGAAAAGTTGTTTTTTTTTTGCATAAAAAAGAACTAAATTAATTAATTTTCGGTATAATGTTAGAGAAAAAAAACGAGGTTGTTGTACAAGTGCGCATTATCTTGAACCACTTAATGTGTATTGAAGTTTTAGATTGTGAATTATATCTCTGTGTTTAATTAAATCGTTTGAATTTCTGCACAATACACACTACACATATGTGAGTTTTTCATTTTGTCATTTTAAAATTAATTTAGCCAAAAAAATATAGTTTATATATATATATGTATGTAAAAACTGATGTGCATTCAACGTATGCAGAAAACATTAGCACTGACATAAGCCAAATGGTCGTTAGTAATTGCATTTTGTGTCTGCTCGAATACACATACATCCAAAAAATCATTTCGACTCGAGACAGAAAGGAATGACCGGTATTTTTATGAATGTGAAAACTAAAAAGCATGAGTATAGCTTTGTTCATTAAGATCTGCTCGTGTTGTTGTGTGAAACTGTGAAAAACCTCATTGAAAATATATTGCCATAACTTTTTTGTGATTTTCAAAAGCTGTCGAGCTGGTCAAAAGTTTGTCAAAAATCTTTATGTTGTGCTCCAGGTAAATATTTGTGTGAGGTGATGGATGGGGAAGTTTCTTTCATATAAGAATAGTTTTTCGTTTAAGGTGTCGAAGAATCTTGTGCAGACGACAAAAAAAAACTATCAATTTAAAAGCGACCATTCGAGCTTAAATCATAAAATACAACATCTGTGTGAATCTTAGCTAATTCTTTGTTTCAATGGCGACTAGTGAAAAGTTATCTTCTTCTTCTTTTTTTGTTGCTTTGTTTTGTAAATATCGATTAAAGATAGCCGACGTCAATAATTTCTCTCTTCAAATTCTTGGGATTGTCTATGCTTATACGCTTCGACTATATACCGTTTTTTTTCCTTATTCCGTTTTGGTAGCAAATACCAAAATGCATATCTCGCACACATACGAACGTTGAAATGAAAATTTTTTCTATACCGGCATGTTTAAATCCACTAGACAAGCATTAACGTTTGAGTATTTTCATTCAATCTTAATTTTATACAGAATATCTTTCTTCTCTCATCATCCCGCGAACAAAAAGTGTCTACTTTTTTTGTTGATTTCTTCTTCCTTTTTTTTTAAATATATGATTGGTGTTTGGCTACATAGAAATCAAAAAGTTAAACACAAAATTATAGTAGTTGATATAATTTTTTAGTGGAATCCCGGTTGAATTTATGTGATTACGCTCGGATGCTTGAGCGCAAACAGGAAGAATAAAATTGGTTAAGTGATGCTTTCGTCGCCGTCAATGTCTGTGTGTTTGTTTTTTTTTTTCATTTTAAGTTTTTTTTTTCTCAAGCTTTTAAATTTCTCATTTAGTTTCAAATTTTATTTCGATACAAATACTTAATGTATGCATGTGTGTGTAATGTGTTTGTGTTGCGATGAGGTAAGCATATGTGGTTGATTTAAAACCATTTCTTCTTTTGGGGGAGGAGGCATTAAACAATACAAGCAGATATAATTTTACTCTCACGTAACCGATATACATTTATACTACTAATATGTGGGTTGAGTGTTTGTATCGAAATAAATATGTACCACCGTCGACATTGTTCACTGTGTACACCGAGACAAAAAGATTGAGACCGAGAGATAGAGAAAGTGGATGGTGTGTATTTGTATTTCAATGTTATATGTATGTGTGTGTGTGTCCATTTAACTTTTTTTTTCGCAAATTTATACAACTCTAAGATTTATGAAAATTAGTTAAATGGATCATAAGCAAAGCGCTATACTCAAAACGCATATGAAAATGGATAATTTTTTGGTCAACGAGTTGACTATTACTGATGAACTGCTGTGACTATCTTTGTCGAATACGCCGGCAGTCTTGGCAACGGCTGGCTGTGCAGATGGTTCCATTTCCAAATCTATAGAAGGAGAAGAAAAGTTTGTATAAAAGAGAGAAGAAAAACAAAAACAAAAAAATTAAACGAGAATGAAAAAGAGACACAATTCAATTTGGTCTCAGTCAATTATTCAAAATGAATGTTTTTCAAGTTGAAAAAGTGCCATCGAAAAAGCATACTAAACTATATTGCAACTAACAAGTTCAGCACATCAAAACTGTCGTCGAACATTGACCAAAGAATTATATCTGACATCGAAGGACTTTTACCCAAACCAAAAATGTGATTAACATCTAAATGTCATAAACTTAAGAGAAAAAAAAATAAGCTTGCGTTCAAATGGTTTTGCACCAACATACCAGACACTCGAGAAAAACTTTCCACACAACAAACATTTGAATGAGAAACAGAGATAGAGAGATTAAACGAATGAAAAAAAAATATATGTGCAAACCTTTCTGCTTAATAAATGAAATGGAATAAAAAAATAAACGACAGGAAATTTACGTTTTTCCAGATAGCAATCCCTGGATAGCAATAAGAAGTTCCTTTTTGACCGAAACACTAATTTCATATTAAATCCATTATAAACGTATAAAATGCATTTTCCACTCACATTTAATACATTTACATTGCATAGAATAAGACATATAAAGTTATTCATCCACAAACCAAATACAACCCGAGGCCAAATGACATCCTCAGATATTTAGAACTTGATGAGAAAACAAAGGAATCTTCTTGAGAGAAAAAAAAATTGTCATTTTCTAATTCAATGAATGAAATCATACTGCCGTAAAATGTACTTTTTATGGTAAACAAATCAATAAGACCGTATAATATAAATGGTGTTAATAATTTGAATCTCATATGTTTATTCGTTGGAAAAAAGCGTCATTTAAATTTGTTAATCGTTCACTTGAACAGAAATTGAAACGGTTTCATTTTCGTAACGACATTTACTAGCCCCATTGAGGGTTGTTGATTTCTCGATTGTCGATGTTATTCTGAGTATGTCGAAATGAAAGGAAAGAAAGCACTGAAATAGCATACGGAAAATACGATTTTTGCTCATTGCAATGCATGCTTTGAATCGTTGGTAATTTTCTGTTTTTTGGGGTATAGAGATTGTCGATGTAGCTGAATTGTAGTTGTTGCGTTGGTAATAGTTATTATGCCATTGAGTATATTTTTCATTTCTTTCTACCCCGGCGTCTGAGTTTTAAATTTCGATATTCTTTTTCTTGCATATATTTATTCGAAATGATATAGTCTCATTCCGATTTTGTGTTGGCAAATAAAGTAATCCTTACCTTCTGCTCGTGTTGAAAAATGAAAAGTGCTCGAAAGTTTGTTCCATCCATGATCGTTTCGTGCTTGTACTCGTGCCTCAAAATTGCTAGATGGTGCTAGACTTTTAATTAGGTATGACATTCTGTGACGAGAATTGTGGTTATTTGTCATGTGTTGATACGGATGATTCTGTTGATTATTATACTGATGCATTTGCGGAATAACAATATTTTCCCATTCGGCGTGACGCTCGTATACGCCATGAAATTGTGACGTTGATAGAAAATTATTGTGATTGTTCGGCTGAAAAAGAACGAATGAAAACAATGAGTGTGTGTGTGTACGAGAGAGAGAGAGTTAAAAAATAGAGAAATGACACGCACATACACACAAATATAGTTGAAAGCATTGAGAAAGAGAAGAAAAAAGACACGAGAATCATCCTCCGTAGATAAACAAATTTACAGTTTACCCGGAAGTTGAAAATGTGATAGACATACAAGAGTAGGATAGATGTACGGTCCGTTGTTCGTTTCAGTTTTGGGCCGTACAGTACTGAAGAAAATGAGCCACAGGCAAATTGAATACATACGGATATATTCATCTTGTGTGTCCAATTTTTTTTGGTTTTTGTCTGCATGGTGTCACTGTTTTTCACGCTTTTTCATTTGCGTCGTTTGTTTTCCGACTTTTTGTCTTAATTTGTGTTCATTATGCAAAAATTAGTAAATGGAATCAAAAACTGTTGGTATATGAAACTGAATTGAAAAAGGGTGTTTTGGATAATTGAAAGCACACAAAATGCAAAAACGACAAACATTGAAATGAATAGGAGAAGAAGAAAGAATCGCAGAGCTAGAGATGGAGAGAAATGTGGTCAAATAAAAGTTATTTGTTGTTTACATGGAAATTTATTTTTATTTATCGCATGTCGCACCATTTGTTGATTTCAATGTGGAAAAACCGTTGTGGTTGTTGTTATCGTTGTCGGCGACAACAACGACTGGTACATTTGAAAATAGTTCTAAACAAAAGCAACAATGGAAGCTTGTTAGCAAAATAGTGGAGACCGAAGGATTGCCATAAAACTACCATAGTAATATAGAATGTGTGTGTATATGAACGAGTGATAGATCAGTAGACAGTATCGAATATAGTGTTAGAATTGAATAAAAACCATTTTAGATACATACGAATTTTTCATAGTGAATGACATCGTTGTTGCTGGTTGGATTCACGTTACCATTGCTGGATGCTTGCTTGCGGTAGAATAGCCGATACTCGAGAATTGGTGAAAAGCTTTGTACCACCCACGAGATATTGTATTGATCACGGTGATTGCTAAGTGTAGGCTGCAAAATTTAATGAAACATTCAGAGGGCATTCGAGAGATACATGAAACAGATGCGATTTTATTTAAATTTTTTCTATTTGTCTTCGAATTCAAGTGGTTTGAAGTCGAGTAGCACAATAAAATTGTTCAATATTACTAACCGAATCAAATGTGCAAACCGATGGAATGCCACTGAGTTGAAGTGATGCACGATCCTTACCAAGGCTATTTGATGCCTGACAACTAGTAAAAAAAAGAACAGATTTAAAAATATGTTTACGAATTATTAGAGGCGCGTCAGTATACTCACGTGTAGTTTCCGAAATCATTGTAAGTGACATTGCGAATGGTTAGTGTGTGTCGATTTCCGCGACTCTGTAAAATTAACAATCAAATTTGATCATTTGCATGGAATTTAATTCAAAAAGACTATACGATAGTATATATATATGCGATATGGTTGTTCACGCAAAATTCAGGATTTTACACAACAATTCCCATACCACACACACATACACAGTTTGACAATATGACTCTTGGTTAAGTGTTGAATTGTCGACGATTTGGCTGGAATATTTTAGCAAAAAAAAAATGGAATGTGTGCACCGTTTGAATGCACACGTATTGACAATTTTACCATTGAATGATGTCTGTTATCAACATTGCATGTACCTGTTGTGATAGTTGTTCGGTAGTTCCAATTTGCGTTGTTTCCTTATACCAAATCACATGAGCTTGTGGTTCCGCGTGCACAACACAAATCAATTGTGCCTCATGGCCAACGCCCGTATGCACAAATGGACGTTCGACTTCAATTTCCGGTGCATCTATAAATAATAGGATAAGAAATTAAATCTCTCATCGCATCAAATCTATCATACTTCCGACATTTTATTTCGAGGTTGCCACGCATCCCTAAACATGCATGCCATGCCATAATCAATTGATTCGATACAATTTGATTTTTGCTCTTAAAACATAGATATTATACAGAGCACATGCCATGTTCATCTCAATATCCCCTCTTCCTTCATATAGCCCAACTCACCGAATAATTTACACGCATTGCATGCGGACAAAATGTTTTATCATTTTATGAGCTTTTGAATTTCATTAATGAACATCGATGGCAGACATTTTATCAGTGCATTTAAAACCATAATTGGAGCGCACTTTCTACTAGATGTGTACCATATTTTTCCCATACAAACATGCATCACATCGCATCACTGCCACCACTCTCGACTCGGTGAGTGTTAAATCTATGGAAATTATGTCACATGAGGTTAAGTGTGAGATAATCACATGCAAATCCCAAAGAATGGGCATGTCACACATAGATAATATATTACAATGTATTTGTTCTATGTTACGACCCATGTTGTTTTCTATTAAATGAATTGTTTTCATCATTAACACATTGCACTTTCTAAAATTTTCGTTCGTTTATGGTTAAATTTGGATTTTTGCCGGCACTCACATGCACACTTCGTAGGGCTAAACTATTTTTAGGAGTTTATTCCATAATTACATGGTATTTTTGTCATTCACAATCAATCACTCATACCATACATTCTTTTTCGATGACAAAGTGTCACAATGTTGTAATCCACTATTTTTCGAATGACAATAAAATGTATCGTGGGAAAGTTTATCTGCTACATTATTTGCATCGATATCTCTTTTTTTTCGTCTGTTTTCAATTTTTATTCTATTTTCGAGCAGGAAATAATTTTTGAACAAACATTTGCTTTACACTGTCAATCATTTATAACAGACATTGTCAATAAAGTCGATGAAAAATATTTTATTACAAAAACCACAAAAATGTGCAATATTATTTTATGGTTTGAAAAATTTCGTGAGAAAATGCTCATATGCAACTTCACTACTTATGATATAATAATATTTTAAAACATAAGAAATTCATTTCAAAATTTCGGGTGAATGAATCTTAAAAATGATTTCTTTTCAAATAATTTCGTGATATTGATTGTATTAGGGATGTTCGATTTCACTTCTCTTTGGGAAATGTTTCCTTCAATGCCATAGTATTTAAAATTCAATGACATAATTTGAAAATTTTCTGAATTTAATTATTACATAGTTTTTGAGTGAAAAATCCACAAAATTATGGCATCGAAATTACAATATTATGGCATTAAAGGAAACATTTCCCAAAGAGAACTGAAATCCTTCAGCCCTACATTGTTTGGATAATCTAACTGTCATATCAAATTTGAAAATACAATGGCTATCAATAAATAAAGTTCAATTTTACAGCATTTTTATAGAATTTTATTTATCTCATCAAAATTGAATTGGATGTCTAAAATCGTATTTCTAATATATACTCACATAAAACGTTGACAAAAATTTCACGTGAATCGGGTTGGCCAACGCGATTATCAGCAGTGCATCGATAGTGTCCGACACTATTCAAATTATATAATATAGACAAATTAATTTGAATGTGAAAAAAAACGATCCCAATTTTTTAATTGACTTACGTGTGACGATCAGCATGCATCATTTCCAAAATGCTGCTTGTAACATTCTCTTCTCCATTTGGCATGACATTATTCTGTAAAAATGGAAACAATAACATGCTCAAAAAAAATCGAATGAAATGCATGAAATAAATTTCCGGTTGGAAAATGGTTGTTGTCATGGTGATGAGCAAGAAACTTCAAGTATCTAATATTGCAAACAATAGAAAATCAAATGCTGCTAGTGATTTTTTTCCATGATTGAAATGTGGCAAATGTTTTGCAATTATTTTAATTGGGTACACACATTGTATACGATGCTATTTACCTTTTCGAAGTTTGGTCAATTGGAAAATCAATGCACGAAACAGAGCCGAGATACGAGTATTATGTGAGAACGGACATCTTCTCATTTACCCGAACAGAGCACTACGATTGTGTACAAAGCTTTTCTGGCATTTCAAATTTCAGGTGCTTAGAATTGGGTGAAGAAAATTACATTTCGCAGAACAAAATTACCACATCAAAGCCAATATAAATAATGAAGCGAATCAGAAAATTAGCGGTGACAGTCATTGTTTGATTGCCGAGCAGAGAGCGTCTATATGCAAAACTCAATATGCACACCAGCCTCAAGTCACAACAATAGACATTACCACCACCACATTCCATCTACTCTGTATCTGTCTCTTTCACTCGCCAAACATTGAAACAGAGGAAGCAAATAATAACAATATGTACACCGTTATTTTTATGTATGAAAATTTATTCTGATTATATATGCAACGAACACTCGATCACTGTTCATTGTTTTCTTTCTCATTCGTTCGCCTTTCCTTATAAAACACATTAATGCACACAGGCACACACGAATATGTGTTTCGCTTTTCATCTGTAGGCTTTTGTGGTGCGCTCGATTGCGTTGAGCAATGGGGTTTGGTTGTTGTCATTATCGTCACCATCGCGGAATGTCGTAGCGAAATGTAAGCCGTCTATCCTACTAGACGGCAACGAATAAGAAGACGAAAAAGTGGTAGCTGAAGGAACGAACAAAAAAAAAATTGTTCCATTTCTGCCATTTGAATCCATGTGTATTTGGATATGCATACATCAATACAGAAAGCGCTTATCTATTATGAATGGGTATTAAAAAATAGACAAGCGAACAGTAAACAGGAAGGAAATTTGAAGAAAAAAAGGGATTCCAGCGAAAAAAAAGGCATGGAGTGGAACAGTCAAACGGAACAGATTAAAACAATAAAAAAAAGGAGTCAGAAGAATAGAAAAAATGCGCGCGCGCACACATACACCTGAACAAATCGAACAAGCAAACAACCAAGCAGAACGAACGAATGTAAAATTCAAGAGAAAATTGTTGAAATGTATTTTGCCGGTAGTATTTGATTCGTTTCCTTAAACGTCGTCGATATGTGAGCGCCTCGTTTGCTATATATAACAACATGACTCGATAAAAATTAATGAACGAATACACCTTTCGAATAGATGGAATGGGAAATGATTGCCACCCCATAACAACAACAACCACATCGTCGGCGACGAGCACGACAACGATGATGACGACTGACAAATGAATGTATGCCAAATAAATACACAAAGATTTGTAAGTTTAATATTCAAATATGTGGCGCAACATCGACCTCAATTTCAAAATCTTTATTTCAATCTGAACGTGTTTCTATCGCTTGGTTCCGCCCTTTCAAAAAGGTGACCGAACATTTCGAACAAAACAATAAGAAAGTAAAACCATCAACAAACCTTTCGAGTCCAATAGATTTTCGCCGGGGGATTCGTCGATGGGTGGGCCCTGCATTCACTTTTTTTGGTGAAAAAAACAAAGAGTTGATTTTTTTTTGTCGCCTTCAAAGAGTCAAACAAAATGAGTAAAATTACACTTACAGTTTAATTGATGCACCTTTTGATACCTCAACCCGAGCAGATGGTGCGAGATAATCGATTTTTGGTGGTACTGTAACAAAAATTGACGCTACATTTCACACAATTGCTCTTTATATATAGAGAGATATTTGCAAATTCATATGTTTGTGTCAGGTCGCAAAATTGTGCGCGTAACCAAACAACGGTGAGTTTAATGTCTCTCTGTGTGTGCGAATGGAAAGTGAACTTACCCAAAACCTCTAAGCTGTGAACGATTTCCTTGGGAACAATTGATCCAATTTGGCAGGCATATTCACCGTAGTCAGAATTGCGAACATTTTGAATTTCCAAATTGTAGCTATTCGAATGTGAACGGGCCGATGTATCAATGATCCCTTGCGGTGGCATCAACCGTATACGCTGTAATATGATGATGAAAAAGGACAGGAGCGAAGAAAAAAAAAACCACCGAAAATAATAAAATTTTATTAGTGTACAAATTTTCACTCTCAAAACATAAATGAAAATGAAATTTTTGCGAAATTAAATCAATGACGGAAAGACGAAGAAGAAAAAAAATATATACCGAGAGAGAGAGAGAGAAAGCACAGAAAACTATAAATCTTACCGGATTACTGGTCACCTTTACATCGCCAGCCGTTAAAACAGCAATACCATGCTTCCAAGCAAGCACATGCCCTGTTTGCTCTAATAATAAAAGCAATATGGTATATATGTATATATTTGACATTGCATATATTTGGGTTATGCACACTGCACACGTTGTGAAATTGCGAATGTTGTGTGACGGTTAATAAAACGGTTTTTATTAAACTTTCTTACCTGTTTCGTTGATTTTACATGGAAGCACAACGGTCGAACCAATGGCAATGCTGTATTTTTGACCAATCGTTAAAAATCCAGGCGAATGATTGTCTTCCTCGATATAGTTGTCCGTGTACCGCGGTGATGCTATCACACCTGAAATGAAACGAAAAAATATGTAATTTTTGCTTTTTGGTGCTGAAATTTAAACAAATTAGAGAACGAAAAAAAAACACACACACATCAAATAGTTTTTTCAGTGTAATCAGTACGAATGCAACGTCCAACCAATTACATTTCGGTCAATATAATCAGAGATAAGAAGTAACGTATACAAACACATACCGACGATGCGATAAATCATATTTATTATCCCAAATTGTATAAAAAAGAAACTAAAAGGGGCGCCTGAACCGGAAAAAAACCACTAAAAATCAATGGGATTGGAAATGGAAAACGAAAATAAATATAAAAACATGGCAAACTCTGACTAACAGCAAATCAATGGTTTTCTGCATGTTATATCAATATCAATCTACGAACATCGAGTTAATAATAAACATAAACATAGAGAATGAGATTAGGTTTGGGCACATGCAACATTCACCATGATAGAGAGAGAGAGTGTGTGAGAGAGAGAGAAAGGAATCAAAGATAGAGGGAGAGTGTGCACTAGTGAAATGAAGGTGCCATGAATAAGAAGAAGATGAAGATTTTGCATGAGACGAGAGATATCATTTCTGTTTCTGACAGCGCTCACACTCACAGTTGCTCTTAAATATTACTTAATATTATCATAAATAAACCATGTATTTGGATTATTGGAGCATCTAAATCGTATACATATATATTATTCATCACAAATATTTGATGCTTAACAAAACGACCTTCGTCTCTTCAATGTGTCCCATAATGTATTTTGAATAAAGCGTGCATATTTGTTCTATTGAAATTGAATCGACTTGGATGAAAATAAAAAAAAGCACACACATACACCACACATAAAGTACATAATAATCATATGAAAAGAATACGAGGCGAAACGAAATGATTTTTGACGGGCGCGCATTCAAACGAAGTGAATGTCAAAGAGTTCGAGAAAATTACCCGTTACGTGTTTTTTTTCGCTTGTATTTTTTTATTTTCTTCAGTTCACCGAAAAAACCAGAAAACAAAATAATGATATTTTGATGTTAATATAATATTGATTGTACATTCTGCATGTATCGAAAAGATTCATCTTGTGCACACATCACAGATCAAATATCGAACGATACGAGAAAACTGAATTTTCTTTCGGAAATCCATAAAACACATAATCCATCTCTGCCGATCTTGAATTTTGCATTTGCACAACACCAGAAAAAAACTGGCCACATAATCTGATTGCATTTTCTCTTGCTACTCTCTCTCTCTCTGTTTCCAGTTATTCATTCACAAACGACTGGTCACGCAGAATAGCTTCAACAGAAATAATTCGTATCAAATTCACATTGGCATTGTTCTTTGCGTGCAATGATTCATTTGTAATGGAAAACTTTCACTTTTCATTTTTGATTCGATAGTGCATTTTCCATGGTTTTCAACTACATTTTAAAACTCCATATACAATATTTACTAATTCTCTAAATGTATTGTACACATTGCACTTCAATTTTACCTCGTTATTCGTACTCATTCCAAATATGGTATCTAAAATAATTTTTCGTACAATATTATGCAGATAGCCATACGTATGTTCAATTTGTTTGTATTTGTGTTTGATTATGAAACGATGATGGTGTGGATGGTGCAAATAGAATGGCAGCATGGGGACAATATTGGATTGCACGCATTCACACACGCACCGCTTTATAATAATGAATAAAGCAAATTTATTGAATCGAAAATTATGCAAATCCAATTTGTAATTGAGTGTGTGTGTGTGTGTAGAGCACACAATGATAAATAAAACGATTTCCAAGCAATAATATCTGATTAAACTAAATAAATGTCAGCAATTTTATTTTATTTCGCATTTCATCGTGCAACATATATGTTTGTTGTTGTTGTTGCCATCATACTCTGACGATGGTGATGATGATGTTATTTTCTATAACTGCTATTGCTTTTACCGTGCCGCAGATGAATTCCATTCTACCTCATTGGGACATTAATTAAAAAGGTGTTTATTTATGTATTGATAGCGGTAACATATGCAATGTTAATTAATTTTCAAACAATTGTATTCGATCGATTGGTTCCGTGATGTTTGGGCCATAGCACACGCATATAGTCAATCGTCATTGAGATTCAATTTAAAACGAATAATTGAAATCCTAATTGAAAATTCAATGGACCGAATTCGTACAAATAATATTCAAAATGAAAAATAGGTCAATAATTAATTTTCCACCGAACGAATTCACTGTTCCAAAATTGCCGTGCATTTTTCTCTCTTTCATTCTCTCTCTCGACCAATGCAATAAAAAAAGCTTCTTCCCTTTTATGTGCACTCACACTCAAACACCTATATTAAATATATGTATTATAACTCTTTTTTTTTCTCTCGCCATTACTATCGTTGTGATTTTGATTGTCTATGATTTTGTCGCCACCTGAGTACAATGTGGTGTCTCGGCGTGGTTTGTTTTGTTATGTTTAATAGAATAAAAGCTTGAATTTGTTTTTATTTGTGAACTCATGCAATTGTTCGTATGTAGAGAATAAATGCTCTGTTTTTGGCGACATATAATTTAATTTACGCTTAGAAGAAATTCGTGATGGAATAAAAAAAATGGTGGAATGTCATCGTTAATGTATGTAATGAACATTTGTGCAAATACACAACTAACCGAAAGAGAAACACACAATAATGTGTCTGCATGAGAATCTCCATACAATTTCTTTCATTTGTAAATCGGTCATTTTAGCGGGGATGTGGTGTATGTATGTTTTTCGGTGTGGAATGGTTTTTTTTTCTCTCCTTCTTCACACACTCAATCCTTGTCAGACATTTATGGTTGTTGTTTGGACTTTTCATTTGATTTTGTTTGCCGTTTTTTTTCTGTTCTACGTTTTCTCGATTTTCGTTTGCCGAACCGTTTTTGTGAAAATACACACAATTCATGCATTCACGTACTTTTTCCATTAAGTTCTGTTTTTTTTTTTCTTCTCTCCTTTCCATTGCTTATTTTCTCTTTCTCTCGCTCGCCATTTCCGTTTCTTTTCTGCTTTATTTTCCGTTGTTGTTTATCGAGGCGATCTTTATGGCACATTTACATACATGTATATTTATGTGCTAGCAAACAAGAAACGATGGCTACAAAATACACGAGAACAAAAGATGAACAACAACAAACAAAACTGTATCAGTGATTTGTTCTTCGGTGACTAAGCACCGTTGTCGTAAAGAAAATGCCGAAAATTCAATTAATTTTTCGTTCTGTCGGATGGCGGACGGTCGTTTGGCTATATATTTGGTATATTTGGTCGTTGTTGTTTTTGTTGTTTTTTTTTTACGTTCGATATGCATGGCAAGTGTGTATTCGATTTTAGAAGTTTTCTTTAACTTGATTAACTTGGACGATTTGTATTTAATTTGTGGAATTTGATTTGGGGGCTACAAAACTAAAATGAACAGATGAACCATCGTAAATTCCATACAAATCAAATGTATACAATAATGATCAAAAGCACGAAAATAAAAAATCACCCGAAAGAAGAAGAGGAAAAAAAATGAAAAATTATTACGGCAATATGCAAAAATCATAAAGTTTATGATTGAAATGATTTTTATTCACAGCAACTAATATTGATGTGGCTTCTTCACAACAATACAATATTGAATAAACAATAAAAAAAGGAGACAACATCAGCAATAGCAGCAGCACCAGCACCACCATAAAAATGGGCATGGTACATAAACAAATGTAGAAACGACACAAAGAATGTAATGAATTGCTATGATTCAGTTGCAATAGATTGTCATTTTTTTTCCCGTTGTGCTTTATGATTGTGAGTGAACACATCCGTACCGAAATGAAATGGAATATGATTGAGTTTTCAATTTAACAGCGAAAGGATATGGAATGGAAAAGAGCAAGGAAGATAGAAAAATATCGAAACGGCGCCAAAGAAGCCATTGCAATAAGTGAAACAAAGCGACAATTCGCAACTTTTCCCATTTTGTTGTTTTTGTTGCAAAGCCTCCCATAGATTTTGACTGTGAGCACAATGTCAATGGGAAGAAATAAGATGAATGGTGGCATCCACACCATTTTTTGGGTAGCTTTCTTGAGCGCATCAACCGTAAGCATCCAGGTCACTTTGCCAAACAAAATCTATGCACCAAGCGACAAATATTAAATTAAATGTGTTTTTAAATGATAAATTAAATTGCGAATTTACTCAGAATTATGTAATATAATATGGATATGTTTGTAAATGAATGGAAAATACGATGAAAAAGATATTGAAAAATTAATTGGAATCTTTGACCGAAGAGCGAGGACTATATTAGAGAAAGATAGAGAAAGAGAAAGAGAACAAGAAATTATATCATGACATTATGATCTGGTAAGTAAGTCACACCGACTGAAGCATCACTGGCTTAAAACGTGCTTCTTCTTTTTTTGTTCGTGCAAAGGAAACAGCGATAGGATTCGTGCAAATGCGAAAATCAAATGTGACATGCTGTTGGCAGCAGAGGGCGCCGCATAAAATGACATTAGCACTTGACATGGTCTTTGTTCGCAAATGATTTCACTCCAATGTTAAATATTTCAGACTCTCTCTCTCTCTCATGCACTCTATACAACACCGCTCACATATATTCACATGCATATAAACAACAAAGCCGGATGAAATACAATACCGTAATTATGCTTAATTTTGTATTTTAAACTCAAGTATGCCAAAGATATGCAAACGGAACAATTGCTTGAAACCGTTTTGTCTCAAGTTGAAGCACTTTATCGTTTCAAGTTTGTTTGAATCTGTAAATATTGTTTTCGTCATAGCAGTACGCTATCATCAACATAAAAGCGAGCCGTATTCAGCCCAAACAGAAGTGTGTAAAAGAATGTACCGAGCACTTTCCAGTACTATGAAAGTGTGGAATCGAAAGTTGAAGAAGAAGAAGATGATGAAAAAACGTCGGAGCAAAGGCCAAGTAT